AAACAATAAAATGCACTTACAGAGCTCAATGAAATTCATTTTTTTTTTTTTTTTGAGACAGAGTCTCATTTGTTCCAGCGCTTGGAGTGCCAGTTTGGTGCAATCCTTGGCTCCCCTGAACTTCCCCTCACTGGGTTCAATATTCTCGATCTCCTCTCCTCCCGAGTAGCTGGATTACAAGGAACCGTGCCACCCATACCTGGTTACATTGTTTTTGTATTTTTAGTAGAGACGTGATCCGCCCGCCTCGGCCTCCCAAAGTGCTGGGATTACAGGCGTGAGCCACCGCGCCCGGCCTACAGTCCCTTTCATAATAGAGAATATGAGTGAGTAATTAAAAAACAAAAGTGGGCTGGGCATGGTGGCTCATGCCTGTACTCCCAACATTTTGAGAGGCCGAGGTGGGCAGATCACATGAGGCTGGAAGTTTGAGACCAGCCTGGCCAACATGCTGAAACCCCATCTCTACTAAAAATACTAAAATTAGCTGAGCGTCGTGGTGCACATTGGTAATCCCAGCTACTTGGGAGGCTGAGGCAGGACAATCACTTGAACCCGGGAGGTAGAGGTTGCAGTAAGCCGAGATTGTGCCACTGCACTCCAGCCTGGGGGACACAGCAAGACTCTGTCTTCAAAAAAAAAAAAAGTGGGGCAAAATGTTAAAAAATAGATACATCTGTTAATGTTCTTAGCAGCATTATTCACAATAGCCCAAAAGTGGAAACTGCAAATATCCATCAATTGATAAATAAATAAACAAAATATGCTATAGCCATGTAATGGAATATCATTTGTTTATAAAAAGGAATGAGGTTTTGATATATGCTACAACATGAATGAACTTGAAATTACACTAAGTGAAAGAAGCCAGACACAAAAGACCACATCTTATGTAAGTCCATCTATATGAAATGTCTAGTACAGGTAAATCCATAGATATAGAAAATAGATTAGTGATTGCCAGGGGCTGGGGGCAAAGGAGAGTTAAGGGAAGAGAGGAACAGGGATTGACTACTAAAGTGTATGGAATTTCCTTCAGTAGGGACAAAAATGTTCTAAAATTAGGTCACGATAATAGTTGCACAATTCTGTGAATATACTAAAAACCATTGACTTACCCCATAAATGTATACACCTACCATGTACCCATAAATATTAAAAATCAAAACAAGACATTGACTTATACACTTCAAATGGGTGAATTGTGTGTTACATGAATTCGTTTTTTTGGTTTTTTGTTTTTTTTAAATGGAGTCTCGCTCTGTCACTGAGGCTGGAGTGCAGTGGCCTGATCTCAGCTCACTGCAACCCGACGTCCCAGGTTCAACCGATTCTCCTGCCTCAGCCTCCCGAGTAACTGGGATTCTGCAGCCTGGGCGACAGAATGAGACTCTGTCTCAAAAAATAAAAATAAAATAAAAAAATAAAAAATAAAAAAAGATGCTTTTATCTGATAGAGAAGCTTGAGATTTTTATGGTTAGAATGATTAAAAATAAAACTGAGAAAGCAAGACAACTAACCTTTAAAAAAAGAAAAAGGAAGTGTCACTATGGTACCCCTGCTTAGCTTTGAGCTGAATATTAAGTCATGCATTTATAAATTGAACTAAAATTTGTTCTGTAACTACATGGGGACTATAAGAGGATGGGGACCAGACCTTGGAATTGATGATAATGGAAGATAAATAGTGTCTTAAAAGGATAGTAAAAATTTTATTTGGAAAAAAGATACGCTTTTTAAAAAATATATGTGCCTGGCGGGGCATGGTGACTCACGCCTATAATCCTAGCACTTTGGAAGGCCAAGACAGATAGATAGCTTGAGCCCAGGAGTTTGAGATCAGTCTGGGCAATATAGCAAGACCCCATCTTTACAAAGAAATACAAAAATTAGCTGAGTGTGGTGATGCACACCTGTAGTCCCAGCTACTGGGGAGGCTGAAGCAAGAGGATCACTTGAGCCCAGGAGCTTGAGGCTGCATCTAGCTGTGATTGCACCACTGCACTCCAGCCTGGGTGATGGGTAGTGAGACTCTGTCTCTAAATAAATAAATGTGTGTGTGTGTGTGTGTGTGTGTGTGTGTGCCTATATTTTAATTCCGTCGGATAAAATTTTTTTCTTCTTTGAGAAAATAAAGGGATTGGTGTTTGCAGTTCTACTGAATATGGGTTTTTCCCCTCAATGCAGCCCAAAGAGATTACTTGGAGCCCCTCACGAGTGTTTCCGCCTGTTCGAGCCTGCATGTTCTCATCTCACCTTACCTCAGTCACCTTCCTGGCTGACCCCAGTGCTGGGGGAGGCCTGCCCCGGGGCACTTTTATCTATGCCACATCACCACTGCCAGTTCAGGTGAGACATCACATGGCACACTGTCTTTTGCATTTTCAAATTTGAAAGAAAAAGCAGGTCTCAGGCCCGGGTTTAGCCCTCTGATTGCTGCTTTCTTCTGGCATCTCTTCAGGCCCCGTCTTTTTACTGGGAAATTGAAATCGTTTCCTATGGAGATACTGATGATGACACCGGGCCCATAGTTTCCTTTGGCTTCACTACAGAAGCAGAGAAGCGAGATGGGGCTTGGACTAATCCAGTGGGCACTTGTCTTTTCCATAAGTAAGTAAAAGAAGTAGCTCAGCGTGACAGAGAACAGTAGCTTCCCACAAGGTGTGTAAGGTGTTCAGGAAGTCAAAATAGAGTTCTGTCTTCAAGTGAGTTTGGAGAAAGGAGAGCATTATTTTTCCATTCTGGAGATTTTCAGTGCACATTAGTAAGATTCCTTCCTAGTTGTCCTGTAATTTTTTAAAAACCTGTTTATTTTCCAAATTCTATAACCCTTTATTCTAGGAATACAGTTTGGGAAATACTGGTGTGGGTATTTTAATACTGAAGTGATATTATAATAATCTCACAATGCTGACCCCCCCCCCTACTTCACCACTTCCCTGCTTGTGTGTTGGCCAGTGAGGCTTATCTTTCTTGTCTTTGACCTCCCTTCTTTGTATTTTTCATAGCAACGGCCGAGCCGTGCACTACAATGGCTCCAGTTTGTTACAGTGGAAGAGCGTTCGCTTAGACGTGACTCTCTCCCCCGGTGAGTGCAGTGGGAGCTTTTCCACCCTGTGTGATTCTATTGGTCTCAGATTTAGGTCTAAACAGGTTAAAGTTAAATAAATTTAGCAATTGGAATTGGGCAATTTGTCATTTAGTGAAAACCAAACACATCCTTGCTGCCCTCTAGTTTACACCAAACCCCTCACTTTATGAGCCCTCACCATTAGAGCCTCCATTTGGTAACTCCAGAGTTACATGTACTTTTGTGCCTTCATCATTAGATAATTCAGAGATTTTGCTTCTATCTGAAGTTTAGTCTTTCTTCACTTATTCACTAATGAGCAGATAAATAGCTTCAAAAAAAGAGAACTCCACCTCTAGCTGTGAGGCACTGGAGAAGTGCCTTATCAGGCCAGGCACAGTAGCTCACGCCTATAATTCCAGCATTTGGGGAGGCTGAGGCAAGAGGATCACTTGAGCCCAGGAGTTCAAGACCATCCTGGGCAACATGGCGAAACCCCATCACTACAAAAAATACAAAAATTAGTGGTGGCACATGCCTGTGGTCCCAGTTACTCGAGAGGCTGAGGCAGGAAAATCACTTGAACCCAGAAGGTTGAGGCTATGGTGAGCTGTGATCATACTACTACACTCCAGCCTGGGTGACAGAGTGAGACCCTATCTCAAAAGAAAAAGAGAGAGAGAGAAATACCTTATTGGTGGTTATAGCCTATAAACATCTGGTCAAGCTTTGACAAATATTCTGCCTCTATGTTTCAGTCACATAGACAGTCAACTCAATAAAGAACCCTTTCCTCCTTCTTTTTAGCCTCTGTAAATAACTAGATCTATATAGTAGTTGAATTAGGATTGGCCCTACATACTCCAGCTATAGCAAAAAAACAGAATTGTCCTGCTGACATTTGAAGCAGCCGAATATGTTGGTTACTTATTTTTAGACAATACATCTTAGGCTTCATCTATAATAAAACTTAAATTGAGATACTTAGTAAGCAGTCTGGGATGATGAGATGGGGAATATGAAGTCACTCCAATAGGTAACCTCTTGTAGCTGCCTGGAGGGTACTTTTGCCATCACTTGTCCTTAAGGGAGCTGCTTGTTAAATAACGCTTTTCTTGGGAGCACAGTGTGGTTTTTTTGTGTTTTGTTTGTTTGTTTGTTTGTTCTTTTGAAATGGAGTCTTGCTCAGGCTGGAGTGCAGTGGTGCAATCGCAGCTCACTGCAGCCTCCACCTCCCAGGCTCAAGCAATTCTCCTGCCATAGCCTCCCGAATAGCTGGGATTACAGGTGTCTGCCACTACGCCCAGCTAATTTTTGTATTTTTAGTAGAGACGGAGTTTCACCGTGTTGGCCAGGCTGTCTCAAAACTTCTGACCTCAAGTCATCTGCCTGCCTCAGCCTCCCAAAGTGCTGGGCTCTCAGGTGTCAGCCACCACGCCCGGCCCCTGGCAGCGTAGTGTTTTTACTCAAGCCAAGCCATGTTATGACTTGGAAATCATTTCAGGGCAAAGTAGTTTTTCTCTTACTTCACAAAGCAGAACTCAGACATCTCAGCAGAGTACTTACCTAAGTGCTTTAAACACAAAAGGGTGTGTGGGGCAGGGGAGCGGTGGTAGGTTGGGGGAGTGTTTTCAGTGTTTTTATTTTCTTGTTGCTGTATTTGTTGTTTTATCAGTTTTGCTCTTTGAGAACATTTAGGACTGGACCACGGGCATACAGACTACCCTCTTCCTAGAGAAATGTGTCTGCAAAGGAATAGGAATTACAACCCAATCTGTCTAACAGAATCTCAACCCCTCTACCAATACGTGGGCTTCCATTCATCAGCAGATACTTGCTGAGCATCTCCTACCTGCTAGGCCCTCTTCTGGCCCCTGGGGATGCCGTGGCGAACAATGACAAGTCCCCAACTATTGGGAAGCTCGCATTCCTGTGGTACCTAAGCCATAGGAGACTCTGTGATCAAAACAGCACCTTAGAACTTCATCCACTTATTGCAGAGTTTAGAAAAGATAAATTATAAGGCCACACATGCTAGCAGCTTGCTTGAGACAGCTGATGTAAGAGAGGCTGATACGATTGACAGGCTCCTCTTGATTCTGTGAGTCCTACCTCGGTGTCCAGTCATCTTGTCAGATAGCAGCCTGGATTATGTTAGTTACCTTCACTTTTTGCAAAATGCCTTAAATGCCTATAAGTAGGGAACATAATGGAATTCAATGGTCTATCTTTAGCTTACATTGTGAATGGAGTTTAAAATTATATATGTATTTTTTTTCTTCTCTTTTCTTTTTTTTTTTTGAGACTGGGTCTCACTCTGTCACCCAGGCTAGAGTGCAGTGGTGCAATCATAGCTCACTGCAGCCTCGACCTCCTGGGTTCAAGTGATCCTCCCACCTCAGCCTCCTGAGTAACTGAGACCATAGGCACACACCACCATGCCTGACTAATTTTTGTATTTTTGTAGAGACGAGATCTCACTGTTTTGCCTAGGCTGGTCTTGAACTCCTGTGCTCAAACAATCTTCCCACCTTGGCCTGCCAAAATGCTGGGATTACAGGCATGAGCCACCACATCTGGCCTTAAATTATATATTTTAAGGCCATTTCTGAATATTCCACCGGAGATGATATTACTATTACCTTTTTACTTGTTTGTCATAAGTAATTCTCCATGTGTCAAAAGAGAAAAACTTCCATTTTTTCTATTTCAAAAATAGTACCTAGTGTTTTTCATTTTTGTCTTGCCTGCCAGGAAAATAAAGGCTAAATTTAATATGTAATTGCGGTAACTGATTTAACACAGACACTAGGCATTTTCCTTCTAAAAAATTCTGACAGCTTCTTTAAATGGGTTGTTTCTGTTATGTTGCTTTATATCTAAGTACAAAAACTTAGGCTGGGTGCGGTAGCTCACGCCTGTAATTCCAGCACTTTGGGAGGCCGAGGCAGGTGGATTGCCTGAGGTCAGGAATTCGAGACCAGTCTGGCCAACACAGCAAAACCCCATCTCTACTAAAAATACAAAAATTAACAGGGCATGCTGGTGGGCGCCTGTAATCCCAGCTACTCTGGAGGCTGAGGCAGGAGAATTGCTTGAACCTGGGAGGCAAAGGTTGCAGTGAGCCAAGATGGCACCACTATACTCCAGCCTGGGCAACAGAGTGAGACTCCATCTTGGTAAATAAAGAAATACAATAACTTCATGTCCATTTCAGAAGTAAATGAGGGCATAAATAGTCAGTGATGTGTAGGGTGACACTCTGGCTGCAAATTTAAATTTTACTTAATAAGAGGGAGAAAATGTGTTTTCCTTCCCATTCTCTGCTATAGGTGACGTGGCAGGAATTGGCTGGGAGAGAACCGAGGGGACTCCACCTCCTCCGGGACAACCAGCCAAGGGCCGGGTGTACTTCACGTACTGTGGGCAGCGCCTCTCACCGTATCTCGAAGACGTCTCTGGTGGCATGTGGCCAGTGGTTCACATTCAGAAAAAGGCAGGTTACCTTATTGGGAAAGGAAAACAAATTCTCCTTCGTCACCTGTTCCTGTTAGACATGGAAAAATGAAAAGGAGCAAACAGGCCCTCGTTGTACATAATATTGGTACACAATGGCAGAGGAAGGGCAGAGCCAGCCTGAGCAAATGCATGCCTTCCTTTGTGTTGACCCCACCGTCTTAGATTGAATGATGCTATATCAGGAACTTAGTGCTTCATTGCTTTGACATCTTTTTAGCAACCTTTCCCAGACATGCAAGGAACACTAGAGTTCTTTCAAATGTCAGTAAAATGATTCCATGATCAAGTAAATTTTGAAAATGATTCTCTGTGGTTGCTCAGTATGTCAGAAACTTGGAGAGATCCTTCAGTAAAGATTTGTAAGTTCAACTTAGTTAACCAGCATCCCCATACATATTTAATGATGGAACTCTTGTTTCTTAAGGAGCATCTATTAATATCCAGTGTTCTGGAACATTATTACTTACTACATGCTGGTAGCTCCCAAATCCATATCTCTATTCCAGACCTTTCCCTAAACTCTATGCTCACATACCCAGCAGCCTGGGCAGCATCTCTAAAGAGATGCCTTATTGGCATGTCAAGGTTAACATGACCGAGACTGAGCCTAACTCTTCCCCAAACCCAAAACCGCCACTTCCCCAGTCTTCTTCATCTCTCAGGAAATGTCAGCTCCATGCTTTTAGTTGCTAAGGCCAAAAACCTTGATATTCTCCTTGACTCCTCTTTTTTCTCCTGCTTCACATCCAACCTGTCAGCAGATCTTGGTTCTAACCTTCAAAATGTATCTAGAAGCTGACCACTTCTCCCATTCCTCCATCAGCAACCCAGCCCTGCCACCATCTTCCCTTGGGTAGCTCATCACAGTGTTCTAACTCCTCTCCCAGCTCGCATTCTTGCCTGTTCACGTCTTATCTTTTTTTTTTTTTTCCCCTTCAGGACATCTCTAAGGTAATACATGTCTTTTCAACCCAGCAATCACAATGATCTTTTTAAAATGTTAGTTGGAATGCCACTATCCAGTCAGTGGCTTCTCATGTCATGCATTTTAAAAGCCCAAGTCTTCACAATGACTTACAAGATGCAAGGTGTAGTGGTGCCAGAATAGTCCCCGTGGCTCTGGAGGCTGAGGTGCGAGTATCACTTGAGCCCAGGAGTTCCAGGCTGCAGTGCGTTATGATTGCACCTATGAACAGTCAGTTGCACTCTAGCCTAGACAACATAGTGAGACTCCATCTTTTTGTTTGTTTGTTTTGAGACGGAGTCTTGCTCTTGTTGCCCAGGCTGGAGTGCAATGGCTCGATCTCGGCTCACTGCAACCTCCACCTCCCAGGTTCAAGCAATTCTCCTGTGTTAGCCTCTGGAGTAGCTGGGATTACAGATGTGCACCACCACACCAGGCTAATTTTTGTATTTTTAGTAGAGATGGGATTTCATCATGTTGGCTAGGCTGGTCTCGAACTCCTGACCTCATGACCTGCCCACCTCGGCCTCCCAAAGTGCTGGGATTACAGGCAAGAGCCACCGCGTCCGGCGAAGACTCCATCTTTTAAAAAAATAATCTATAAGGTCGTATAGGATCTGGCCCTGTACCATGCCTCTGATACCATCTTTTATCTCTTTATTTGGTGAGTGAATTAATGATGCCAATAATTTAAAGCAGCATTTCTCAGCCTGTTCCATTAATGCATTCAACAAATATTTATTGAACACTTACTCTATGTCAAGCACTATGCTAAGCTCTGGGTATATGGCAGCGAGCAAAACAGATACGATCTCTGTCTTCATTGGGTTATGATCAGTTGGAGGAATAAGACCGTACCAAATAATCACATAAATATACATGTGTATGTATGTAATCACAGACTAATAAATGCTGTGAATGAGAATCACAGACTTCCTGGAAGCAAGTGGCAGGCACATCTGACTTGTATCTCTTAATCTGAAGAAGTGCTGCTTGAGCCAGGTCTGGAATATTATTAGCTGGTCTTAACTAGGCAAAGTTGGACAAAAGAATATTCCAGGTGGAAGGCACAGCATGGGTGCTGGTGTCAGGTAGAGAGGAGCAGTATCAGGTAGAGAGGAGCAGTGTTGGAAACAAGAGAGGTCAATGCGTTTGAGCAGCAAAGTGCATGAAAGTGTGAGATGAGGGACGGAGAGGCAGGGCTGGCTGCACAGGGCTCTGAGGGCAGGTGTGTTCAGTCCCTTCAGCCCCTGCCTGGTTTCTCATGCCAGCACACACCTCAGGCTATTCTTCCAAGGTGACGTTTAGTGAGCTGCACCTTGGGCTCTTGCAAAAATAAAAATAAACCTAAGTCTTTCCAAATCCTTCATTTGGTCTCCTTTCCAGAACACCAAAACCCGAGCTAACTTTGGCTCCCGGCCATTTGCCTACGCAGAAGGGCAGGCCCACCGCAATGCTGCCGACCTGTGCACCGACCTAGCAGAAGAGATCAGCGCTAACTTCGAGGCCCTGCCCTTCGCCATGGCATCTGACAGTGACAATGATGCTGGCACCAGTATTGCATCAGACCCAGGCACTCATGGGCCACCATGCCGGATTGCTGCTGTGGCCACCGCTCAGCAACGTAAGTCACCTCCTGGGAGTTACTGCCTCCATGGCTTCCTGAGACCGTGAATGTTATGAATTCCATAAACCCATTGCACTTGAGCATCCTCATTACAATCAGGAATTGCAAACTCAAGTGCCCATTGGTAATGGGGTCAAATCTGGTGAAAGAAGGTGGGGAGCAGGAGGAAGCACAGCAGACCACAAAGTTCATCCCCATTTCCAGGAAGCCTGCTATGCCTCAGGGCAGCCAGTGCAAGACCAGTAGAGCCCCAGCACTTTGTATAAAGTCTCCTCATGTCACGTGTTACTCATTTTCAAAACTTGTCCTAAAATTGAGGTAATCACAGAATAATAAAATGCTAGGCAATGGGTATATAGGTGTGCACTAAAAACTCTTATGATGGTCGGGCAAGGTGGCTCACACCTGTAATGCCCACACTTTGGGAGGCCGTGGTGGGCAGGTCACCTAAGGTTGGGAGTTCGAGACCAGCCTGACCAACATGGAGAAACCCCATCTCTACTAAAAATACAAAATTAGCTGGGTATGGTGGCGCATGCCTGTAATCCCAACTACTCAGGAGGCTGAGGCAGAAGAATTGCTTGAACCGGGAGGTGGAGGTTGCAGTGAGCCAAGATCGCACTCCAGCCTGGGCAACAAGAGTAAAACTCCATCTCAAAAAAAAAAAAAAAACTTTTAAATACATTTTTTTTTTTTTTTTTTTTTTTTTTTTTTTTTTTTTTTTTTATTTTTTTTTTTTTTTTGTAACAGTCTTGTCATAAAATTAAACAGCTCACCAAAGTAAGAATGTCTGCAAGCCATATTTGGCCCTTGGGATACTGGTTTGCAAACTATTTTAAGATTCTGTTTAGGGCCAGGCACCATGGCTCACATCTATAATCCCAACACTGGGAGGTCAAGGAAGGAGGACAGCTTGAGTCCAGGAGATTGAGACCAACCTAGGCAACACAGTGAGACCCTGTCTCTACAAAAAATTTTAAAACTAGCCTAGTGTGGTGGCACATACTTGTAGTCCCAGCCACTCAGGATGTTGAGGTGGGAGGATCACTGGAGCCCAGGAGGTTTAGCTGCAGTGAGCTGTCTTCGCACCACTGCATGCCAGCCTAGGCAACAGAGTGAGCTTCTGTCTCAAAAAAAAAAAAAAGGTCTGTTTAGTTCTATCCATAGTGAAGGACTTTCTAAATTTTCTCTGAATTGAATGAATTATACTCATAAAAACTATTTTAGGATTCAGGGTAATTATAGATAATTAGTTATTCCTAGACTCTGTGATTTAAAATTCCTCAGCATACTAGGAGTCTTCCTCTCATGCAAATTAAGATAATCTGGTTTGTCTAAGGGTAAGAAGTTAAGGATTTTTCTAGCCTGCTCTTGTTTAGAATTCACTGTCCTTGTGCTCTGTTACAGAATATGATAGTGACACCTCCTGTCATTATAAAGTCGAGCTCAGCTATGAGAATTTCATCACCTCTGGCCCAGACCCTCACCCACCTCCCATTGCAGATGATGAGAGCGATGATGATGACGATGATGACATCCCGCAGGTAAGAGACCCATGGCTTAGATCAGGACTCAGCAGCATTTGCTTAGCTCCCTGGTGACTAGGACAAGCCTCACGGAGTGATTTTGATGTGCGAGTGCAAAGCTGGTGTTGTTACTCTCAGTGACATCATTGTGCTTGAACAGTGAATGAACCTTAGAGTGTTCATTTTTCTAAACCTCTATCAATAGCGATATCCGTTGGGCCATTTTGCCCAGTTAAGATCCAGAAACTGGAGAAGTGAAGTGCTTTGCAATAGTTCAGAATCCTGTGACAATGCTTCTATGGCTTCTTTAGAGGGAAAGGAAGAGCTTGCCCTAGTCTTGCCGTTCCCTGCCCTGGCATCTGGGGGTATGTCTAGTACAGGGGTCCATGCCTGATCTTTCTGTTACTGGCATTTAAGTGGGGTGAAGACCTCAGGGTGAGGGCTGTAAGTTAGGGAAACAATGATAGCTGCACCAGGTGTTCCTTCTGCATTCATGAGGTTCCTTCTCCTTCCAGGAGGACCACTACGCCCTGCTGGTGAAAGCATGGGAAACCAAGGTTTTTCCTACCATCCGAAGACGCTTCCGCAATGAAGCAGAGCGGAAATCGGGCCTGGACCAGATAAAGGGAGCCTTACAACTAGGTCTGGTACTTTTTGTTCTGCTAAGGAGGTTACTTCATGACTTGAAGTGAGGAGTTGCATGAAAATCAGAACGTAAATCAGGAGAGACTCATCTAATGTTGCACCAGACTTAACAATGTCTTTGATCTTACCTTTAGTGAACTCTGATCTTTTGTTTTCATTGCTGGACTTTGATTTGCTTGTCAATCTACCTGAATATTTTGGGTTGATGGGCTGCTGCAATGAAGCTGGAGTGGTTATAATAGGAAACTCTGTGGTCTGGTGGTTAACAGTCACATCTGAAGTCACACTATTTACCAGCTGTGTGGACTTAAGAAAACTACTTAACATCTCTGGGCTTTCCCCATCTTTAAAATGGAATTTGTGCTCTGCAAGGTTGATATGGCAGTCTCTCACTGTTCCCTGATTCTGCTTATTAAACAGTATTTTTGGCCGGCCCTGGTGGCTCACGCCTGTAATTCCAGCACTTTGGGAGGCTGAGGTGGGTGGATCACCTGAGGTCAGGAGTTTGAGACCAGCCTGGCCAACATGGCAAAACCCCGTCTCTACTGAAAATAGAAAATTAGCTGGGTGTGGTGGCACACGCCTATAGTCCAAGCTACTCCGGTGGCTGAGGCAAGAGAATCGCTTGAACCCAGGAGGCGGAAGCGGCAGTGAGCCAAGACTGTGCTACTGCACTCCAGCCTGGGCAACATAGAACAAGACTCTGTCTCAAAAAATAAATAAATAAATAAATAAATAAATAAATAAATAAATAAATAAACGGTATTTTCTTCTCATACCCACTGTTCCTTTTGAAAACATTGCAAAGATTATTGTTCCCTAATCTTCTAATATTAGGCCACAATTTCTTGTTTATTCTAACACTTATTTCCAAAAGCATCTGTCTCTAATCACAGCCCCCTTTTAAACTCTGCTCAGAAAATTGCCTTACTTTTTCCTTACAGTAAGACCAGTGAATAAAAGAATGGTAGATAGGTGGGATGGAGTTAGGCCTTGTATTAAAAAAAACAGGTTCTAGGTCGGGTGCAGTGGCTCACGCCTGTAATCCCAATACTTTGGGATGCCGAGGCGGGCAGGTCACGAGGTCAGGAGATTGAGACCATCCTGGATAACGTGGTGAAACCCCGTCTCTACTGAAAATACAAAAAATTAGCCAGGAGTGTTGGTGGGCGCCGGTAGTCCCAGCTACTTGGGAGCCCAAGGCAGGAGAATGGCGTGAACCCAGGAGGCGGAGCTTGCAGTGAGTGGAGATTGTGCCACTGTACTCCAGCCTGGGCAACAGAGTGAGACTCTGTCTCAAAAAATAAATAAATAAAAATAAAAAGCAGATTCTATCAACACCCACTTTTTAAATTATTTTTTTGAGAGAGTCTTGCTCTATATTACCTGGGCTAGAGTGCAGTGGTGCGATCATAGCTCATTGCAGCCTCAAACTCTTGGGCTCAAGAGATCCTCCTGCTTCAGCTTCCCCAGTATCTGGGACTACAGGCACTCACTACCATGCCTGGCTAATTTTTTTATTTTTTGTAGAGACAGGGTGTTGCTATGTCCCTCAGGCTGGTCTTGAACTGGCTTCAAACAGTCTTCCCACCTGAGCCTCCAAAGTGCTGGGATTACAGGTGTGAGCCACTGCCCCAGACCAACACCTGCCCTTTCACCCACAACGTCCTGGGTGCTATGGGGCCTAAGGCAACAACAGGATATGGAGGAATTGTGCCCATTTTGCTTTCCTCCCATAATGCTTTTCCTCCTAGGTCTTTGGACATTTATTTCCTTAGTTTATTAATCAATAGTAGCTGTTGCTATCAAACATAATCATATGTTGTTTCTCTGGGAAGAAAGAGCAATCTCAGTAAGTGGATAGAAGAAGCTCATATAGCCCTCTTTCTCTCCTAAACAAGCAACATGTGTTTATTGCAGTAAAAATCAAACAGTACAAAAATATATAAAGAAATAAACATGGCTCAGCGCAGTGGCTCACACCTGTAATCTCAGCACTTTGGGAGGCCAAGGCAGGCGAATCACTTGAGGTCAGGAGTTTTGAGACCAGCCTAGGCAACATGGTAAACCCCCATCTCTACTAAAAATACCCATTTCTACTAAAAATACAAAAATGTTAGCCAAGTGTAGTGGTGCGCGCCTGTAATCCCAACTACTTGAGAGGCTGAAGCATGAGAATCGCTTGAGCCTGGGAGATGGAAGTTGCAGTGGGCTGAGATTGCACCACTGCACTCCAGCCTGGGCAACACAGCAAGACTGTCTCAAAGGGAAAAATAAAAGGAAAGAAAGAAAGAAAAGAAAAAGAAATGTTACCCTCACTTTCTTCTTCCTCTCTGTTTGTCCTGTAATTTGTTATTTTGAGTTAACGAAAATGAAATAACTGCAAAATAATGGACCATTTTTAGCCATTTTATACTGATGAACACTTCAGTTTTTTCCACTTTTTTGCTATCTACCAACAGTGCTACAGTGAGTATTCTTATACCTTTGCACACTAGTGCTTGTATTTCTTTCTTTTTTTTTTTTTTTTTTTCGAGACAGAGTCTTACTGTGTCTCCCAGGCTGCAGTGCAATGACTCAATCTCAGCTCACTACAACCTCCACCTCCCGGGTTCAAGCAGTTCTCCTGCCTTAGCCTACCAAGTAGCTGGGATTACAGGCACCTGCCACCACACCCAGCTAATTTGTATTTTTAGTAGAGACGGGGTTTTGCTGGTCTTGAACTCCTGACCTCAGGTGATCTACCCACCTCGGCCTCCCAAAGTGTTGGGATTACAGGCATGAACCACCACGCCTGGCCTTTTTTTTTTTTTTTTCTGAGATGGAGTCTTTCCCTGTCACTCAGGCTGGAGTGCAGTGGCGCCAGCTTGGCTCACTGCAACCTCTGTCTCCCGGGTTCAAGCGATTCTCCTGCCTCAACCTCCCGAATATCCAATATCCCGAATATCCGAAAATCCCCAGTATCTGGGATTACAGGCGCCCACCACCATGCCTGGCTACTTTTTGTATTTTTAGTAGCGATGGAGTTTCACCATGTTGGCCAGGCTGGTCTTGAACTCCTGGCCTCAAGTGATCTACTTGCCTCAGCCTCCCCACGTGCTGGGATTACAGGTGTGAGCCACTGTGCCTGGCCTTAGTGCTTATATTTCTGTGGAAGAGATTTGAGACATTCCTAAAAGTACTGCATTTAGTATTCCAAACATGGTAGATACTGCATAATTTCCTTTGCCAAAGGATTACATACTCCCATAAACAGTGTTTGAAAGATTCCCTTATCATTTCACTCTGCATGTAACTTAGTGTCGTGGTTGATCTGTGTGAACTCTTTGGGGAGTTACCCAGTGCTGTTATATTTTTTAGGTATGGTGGATATTGCCCGACAGACGGTTGAATTTCTCTATGAAGAGAATGGTGGCATCCCAAGAGATCTTTATCTTCCCACCATTGAAGACATTAAAGACGAAGCAAACAAGTTCACAATTGATAAAGTTCGAAAAGGTTTTGCTTTCCTCCTTACTCCACCTATGAAATTTCCTTTGAAATGAGAGGTTGAATTTTCCTTAATGTGCACAAGCAGCTGGTAGCTCTCCTAGGGTGACTCTCCTTACTCTTTGAGCTAACCTCTTCCACACGCCCCATGTGAAGCCTTAGAGCAACCCTGGTGGAGCCCTTCCCGCTTCCCAGAATTCAGTAGCATTAGCTGAGTGGGGCAGGCAGCTGTACAAGAAGAGAGGTAGGGCCCAGGCTGAGGATTACAGATGGGCCTCTCAGGCTTAGTCCTGTATTCTGAGATGATAAACCACATGCACATGGCTAAACTGGGCTTTTTAGAATTTTAATAAAATGTATTCTCTTTGGTTAAAAATCTATTGCATATTTTAAAGAATTGAGGGAAATACAGAAAAGCACAAAAAAAGAGAATTGAAAACCACTATTTTTAGAGTTACCAGAAGACCTTCATAAAAATACCAGAACATCGTAGGCAAGGCAGGAGGAATATATATTTACTTTTCATCTCTCTTTTTTTGCGATGTAATTCACACATCATAAAATACCCTTTTAAAGTATACAATTTAGTGGTTTTAGTGTATTCACAAAGCTATGTAACCATCAAAACATTGCCTCTAATTCCAGAACATTTTCATCCCCACAAAAAGAAATCGTGTGCCCTCATCACTTCTCATTCCTCCCTCCCCTCTGGCCTCTGGGAACCACTAATCTACTGCTACTACTGATACTGCTATGAACATTTGTGTGTACATTTTTGTGTAGATATGTGTTTTCATTTCTCTCAGGTATATATGTGGGAGTAGAATTGCTGTATCACATGGTAACTTTATGTTTAACTTTTTGAAGAACAACCAAACTAGTTTCCAAAGTGATTACAGCATTTTACATTCCCATCAGCAATGTACGAGGGCTCCAGTTTCCCCACATCCTTGCCAACACTTGTTATTAATTGTCTTTTTTTTTTTTGGCTATTTTAGTGGGCATGAGGTAGTACCTCATTGTGGCTTTGACTTGCGTTTCTCTAATGACTAATGATGTTGAACATCTTTTCATTTGTATCTTTCCATTTCTCTTTGGAGGAATGTTTATTCAAATTCTTTGCCCACTGGCCAAGGGCGGTGGCTCACACCTGTAATCCCAGCACTTTGGGAGGCCAAGGCAGGCGGATCACCTGAGGCCAGGAGTTCAAGACCAGCCTGGCCAACACGGTGAAACTCCATCTCTACTAAAAATATAGAAAATAGCCGGACCTGGTGGTGCACGCCTGTAATCCCAGCTACTCCAGAGGCTGAGGCAGGAGAATCACTTGAACCTGGGAGGCAGAGGTTGCAGTGAGCCATGATCACACCACTGCACTCCAACCTGGGCCACAGAGCAAGGCTCTGTCTCAAAAAACAAACAAAAAATTCTTTGCCCACTTTAAACTGGCTTATTTGTCTTTTTATTCTTGAATTGTAACAGCTTTTACAACGTTCTATTATATTACCTTCCCGACTGAGTTGTGTTCTTGCTTGGTTATAACAAAACTGAGGGTTCTGTTAAAGCCCGTAGAGCTATTTTATTTCATTTTATTTCATTATTTTATTTTTATCTGGAGAGCTATTTTAGATGCTAAATGTAAGAACCCAGATGCAGTGGTACTTTTTCCTGAAAAACTTCTCCCTCTACACTCCTCAGGTCTCACAGTAGTAACCCGCTCTCCAGACAGCAATAATGTAGCCAGCAGTGCTGTTGGAACTGCTCTGCCAAAATTTGCCATCCGAGGGATGCTGAAAACCTTTGGGCTTCATGGAGTCGTCTTAGATGTTGATTCAGTGAGTGAACGGCCATTCTGATTAATAAGCTCTTTTATGTATACTGAGGCTGTCATGCCCAGATTCTCAAGTACCTTAAAAAGTGATTATACAGATAAGTTTCTCTTCAAATCAAGGATGAAGACACAAAGCAAAAATGCTCTAATGCCAATTGACTTGCCTGAGCTTTCCTCAGGGACTCAGATCAGGGCTGACAGTAGATAGTAGGCTGTCCAGTCTCAAAGCTGTCAGTGCCTTCAGACCACACCACTTCTACCATTATTTTCTGTCCGACACGTTCAGACTGTTCCTGCATTGTATCTACCTAAGTTCCCAGGGAAAAGTCCCCATTGTCCTTGATGAATGGTTGATCTGTCATTGTCATGATGGTCATAGAGACACAAATCAAAGAAATAGGCTGGGCGTGGGGCTCATGCCTGTAATCCCAGCACTTTGGGAGGCCGAGAAAGGAGGATTACTTGAGCCCAGGAGTTCGAGGCCAGCCTGGGCAACATGGTGAGACCCTGTTGCTGCAAAAAATTAGCCAGTCATGGTGGGCATATCTGTAGTCCCAGGTATGTGGGAGGCTAAGGTGGGAGGATTGTTTGAGTCTGGGAGGTCAAGGCTGCAGTGAGCTGTGATGGCGTCAGTGCTCTCTAGCCTGGGCAACAGAGTAAGTCCCTCTCTCCAAAGGGAAAAAAAAGTTGTGTCATTTTGATTACATCATCTCACTGATTCTCTCAGCCTCAATTTCTGTATCTGTAAAATGAGTGTATTAAACTGGATCAGTAGTTTCCTCCTCCATTTTGCAAAGCTCTCTCCTAGAACACAGCTAGGACTTTTAGGGGTTGGGGCAGAGAAGTAAGAGAGTGAGAGAGGACAAGGCCAGAGCTTTCTTTTGAAAAGAGACTCTGTTTGAAAGCCATGACTGTGATTCTGAGGTTGCATGCACATCCTTGTATTTGAGAAGCTTCCTATGCAGGAAAAACTGGTGAAATAATATACAGATCAAGCCTGAGAGTCTCTGATAAAATATTAATATTATCAATCACTGTATAGATATAAACTTTGGTATCTGTCAAGAGAGATACAGATGATACTAGATTCCATTAATGCTTTGAAATTTACCTTGAAAAAATGTACATCTTTAGGCCAGGTGCGGTGGCTCATGCCTGTAATCCCAGCACTTTGGGAGGCCGAGGCAGGTGGATCAATTGAGGTCAGGAGCTTGAGACCAGCCTAGCCAACATGACGAAACTCCATCTCTTCTGAAAATACAAAAATTAGCTGGGCATAGTGGCGCGAACCTGTAATCCTAGCTAGTTGGGAGGCCGAGGCAGGAGAATCGCTTGAACCCCAGGGGCAGAGGTTGCAGTGAGCCGAGATCATGCCATGGCACTCCAACCTGGACAACAGAGCAAGACTCTGTCTCAAAAAAAAAAAAAATTACATCATCTGACTATTTTGTCAGAATGTAATTTAACTCATTAAATTTGTTTAGAGGGGCTATTGACTGGTGGTCTCTGAGGTGAACTTTCAAATGGAAAATTCCATCAATAATACTGTTAATCTCCCACTGCCTTCTGATGCAAACTTCTGACTCTGATTATAAGAAAATACATTACTGACGATATTTTTGAGCAATCTAAATGTGTGAAAATAAAAGTTAGAAAAATAGAAATGTCCTTATAGTAATCATTCTGTTGTTTCTATGGTAATTTCTCTCCATTTTAATAATCCCTAAATGAAAATTGCATTGGTATTTGCATCCAAAATGCATATGTATGAGCTTTTTATGTTCCTAGCAATAAAATAGAGATATCAGACAGATTCCCTCCTTTTAAGATATTATTAACATAAAAACAATGAACATAAATTTTACCTAGCAACAGTGTGTGCTGGAAATATAGCACTATTCTCTTTAAATTGCTAACTTATGATTACATTGAAAATCTTTATTGTATGAATTAAAATTTTCCATCTGGTATGGAAAAACTAAAACACTCAGTACTAAGCAGATGTCTTTGAACTTAGACTAAATCAATGGCATGAAACTAGCATTTATTGCTATAGTCTGGTTATATATGTGTATAAATATATAGATATATATATTAGTCTGGTTGTGTGTGTTTATGTATATATTATCTTATACTGTTTTTATTTTGATTGAAGTTTTTTTTTGTTTTTTTTTTTAATAACTGGCTTTTGGCCTTTCTAGTATGTCGTTAATTCACATTTATATTTAAGAATTCATTTAAAATCTCTGTGATTCCTGGCTGGGCATGGTGGCTCACGCCTGTAATCCCAGCACTTTAGGAGGCCAAGGCAGGTGGATCACTTGAGGAAAGGAGTTTAAGACCAGCCTGGCCAACATGGTGAAACCCCGTCTCCACTAAAAATACAAAAATTAGCTGGTCACAGTGGTGGGTGCCTATAGTCCCAGCTACTCGGGAGGCTGAGACAGGAAAATCTCTTGAACCTTTGAGGCGGAGACTGCAGTGTGCCAAGATGACGCCACTGCACTCCAGCCTGGATGACACAGTGAGACTCCATCTCAAAAAAAAAAAATAAGATCTCTGATTTCTGATGTTTGTTACTTTGTTATTTTCTTAGAAAAGCATATAGCAAGTTTATATAATAAGACTACTTATGTGTTTCAACAATGTATTGTGAATTCTCTTTCATTTGTTTTGTCTATGAAATTGCAATTAGTTACAGATTATAATACCTAAAAGCCTGGACTAAAAATACACACACATACACACACACACACACACACGTACACATGGAAAACAAAAGCAAACAGCACAAACAGACATTTTCTTTTCCTATTGTAGGTGAATGAATTGGTGCAGGTAGAAACATACCTCCGCAGTGAAGGTGTGCTGGTGCGATACTGGTATCCCATTGATATGTTGGAAAGGCCCCCAGCAGGCTACCGAAGGACTGCCACCAATGGGCTGGTCACACTGGACAATACCAACCTTCAAATTCACAGGTACAGTTGGGCCCTTCTTTCTACTGGGTCACAGAACTCCACCAACCTCACTCTACCACATGTACCATTTATCCTCGGCAAGAAAGTTTTTCCTTCAAAGCTAACACTTAGAGAAGGCAGCTAATAAAGATAACAGCAAAATTGCAGGAGGTGTGAAGAAAAGTCGGGGGACCTAGGGGCCAGGCACGGTAGCTCAGGCCCGTAGTCCCAGCACTTTGGGAGGCCCAGGTGAGCAGATCACTTGAGGTCACAAGTTTGATACCAGCCCAGCCAACCTGGTGAAATAGCATCTCTACTAAAAATACAAAAATTAGCCGATCTTGGTGATGGGCACCTGTAATACCAGCTACTCTGGAGGCTAAGGCAGGAGAATCTATTGAACCCAGGAGACAGAGGTTGCAGTGAACTGAGATTGTGCCACTGCACTCCAACCTGGGTGACAAAGGGAGACTCTGTCTCAAAAAAAAAAAAAAAAGTTGGGGGATCTAGAATCATCTGGCTTATGCAACATGCACGCTGCTGTGATTTGGAGGGACTACTGGGTAGCTAGAGATTGACTGACTCATTGAACTTAAGACCACCCAAACGCTGCAATGCAGTCTTAAACGGAGACAGCAAGAGGTCTTGCCATCTAGACAGATAAGCATATCTGGAGTTCCAGTGAGAGATGAGAACTGGAGATACACTCAACTTGGTTCAAAATTGTCAACATCGTGAGAATTTGTGATGGCTAATGGATGAATAGCCATCACATTCCACAGATTGGAAGAGCGTCGTGGAGTAAGTTACAGAGAGTAAAGCAAGTCAAGAAAAGGTAAGAAGATGTCCAGATACAGTGTAAGCTCCTTTCCCTGTGAAGCTGATCAGGTATTGCTTGAGTGCTTTCTATGTGCCTAGCACCATGCAGGCTTCCAGAAGAGAAGAGAAGGTGTTCGAGGCATGTGCCTGCCCTCAGTGGGCTGAAACATAAAGATCTGGCAAAGCTCCCTCATAGTCACCATTACCAATTCCCCTGAGAATTATTCCTTTCCATCTTAAAATTTCTTGCAATAATTCAGAGGAAAATATAATAATAAATGGAGTTCTCTAATAAAAATTTCCAGAAACTATTTTTCATGCTGTTCATCCATTAGCCATCACAATTTCTCGTGATGTTGACAATTTTGAACCAAGTTGAGTGTATCACCAGCTCTCATCACTCACTGGAACTTCACATATGTTTATCTATCTAGACGGCAAGACCTCTTGAGATAGACCATCTCCGCTTGAGATTGCATTGCAGCGTTCGGGTGATCTTAAGTTCAGTGAGTCAGTCAAATTCACAAGACCAAAACAGGTCACACGTGACCTTCTTAGCTTTACTTAGCAAGATATAGGACAGGAAGTAGGCATACCGCAGGCAACATCACGAATGTTTCTTCAACAGGGGTCCTCACAGTCATCCCCATAGAAGTTCAGGGGCTATTCCCTGACCCTACCTACTGACCCCATCTACCTACCCAAGTGTCAACTCCAGTGTGAAGGAGAAATGTCCCACGGCAGGGCTCCTGCAGCCAGTGACTGAACAGCCCCATGTCCTAATCCAAGCTGATATATCTTGTGAACACTCCACAGGCATGACTTCCAGGGATTTCAGCAAGAGGCATGCCCAGTTACAGGCATCACCATGCTCCAGAAGCCTCAAAGCTGTGGCTTCCCACCAAGAATGTTCTTCACAGTCCTCCCCATTTAGACACAGCTTGCCTGGGAGGGGTCACTAGTATCACAAGCAGTGCCTTGTGATGTTGCCGACATTCTTTGTCACGTTTTCAGAAGAACTGACTTTAAAACAGCTTAACCAAAGGCAGTTCTGAGGTAGACAAGGATACGGTTTTGTTGACCCTTAACTCACAAATAATCTCATAAGCCCCTAAAATTTAGTGTGTGAGGTGGAATCTGAATTTTTCCCCAAAATCTCCTCTACCACTGGCCTCCCCCTATCTGGAAGGGGCGCCATGAGCCATCCTTTTTCCTCAAGAGAGCTGTCGGCAAGTGCCATTGACTGTTCCAAAATATGTCCCCATCTGCACATGTCTCCATTCCCACCTCCACCACAACAGCCCAGGCCTCGGCTCTCCTCTCCACAACAGCTGGAGCGATCTTTAAGACACAGAAATCAGCTCTCCCTCCTCTAATGCACACCTTCCCATCGAGTACATTCAAACCCTAACCTGCCTCACAAAACCCCACAGGAGCCTTTGAGCTTGGCAGCCCCTCTTCTGTGGTGCTCACACAGCTAGTGTGCTTCTTCCTTAGGGATGGCCCGAGTTCCCCCTGACTGTCTCATTCTGTGATTCAGATCTCAGTGAATTCTCACCTCTTCAAAAAGCTTTGCCCTCACTGTCTGAGGTGACTGTCCAGGCGCTCTTTGTCAGGAAACTACAGTATTTTAATGCTTTCCCAGGACCTGACATTTTTACTGCTGTTATTTTGCTTGTTTGTTAAAGTTTGTTCTTGTGGGCTGGGTGCGGCGGCTCACACCTGTAATCCCAGCACTTTGGAAGGCCAAGGTGGGTGGATCACTTGAGGCCAGGAGTTCAAGACCAGCCTAGCCAACAGGTGAAACCCCAACTCTACTAAAAATACAAAAATTAGCCGGGTCTGGTGTCATGTGCTGATGGTCCCAGCTACTCAGGAGGCTGAGGCATGAGAATCACTTGATCCCAGGAGGCAGAGGTTGCTAGAGTCCCTAGTGCCTAAGCTAGGCCCTGACACACACTGTAGACCCAAAACAGATGCTGAAAAAGGTCCCAAACATACACGCTTGAATATCAATATGGTATTATTAAGAAGACATACATGCTTGAATGTCAACGTGGTAATTAAAAGCTTTTAAAGCTTTATTTAATAAGTCTTTTGGTCATATTTTTTAGCAAACATCTTTGATAGATGAAACCTGTTGACTGCTGACTGGCAACTGAGAGAGAAGGCAAGAAAGTCCTTGTAGAGTTACAGTCAACTTACAAGTGTAGGACGTTTACTCGGTGTTACTGCGGTGGTCTTGGTATTGGAAGACATAGGAAACATGCCATGCAGATCTGTGTGATCATTCAGTGGTTGGATTTCTGGTCCTAGCACAGATTTTCATCAAGATTGTTTTCTGTGCTAAAGCGGTCACAGTGGTTTTAAAGAAGACTTTGGTGAGCTGGGCCTGGTGGCACACACCTATAGTCCCAGCTATTTAAGTGGGAGGCTGAGGCGAGAGCATTGCTTGAGCCCGGGAGTTCAAGGCTGCAGTGAGCTGTGATTACCAGTGTCCTCCAACGTGGGCAACAGAGCAAGACCTTGTCTCAAACATTTTTTTAAATAAATAAATAAAGAGGATTTTGGAAAACAGAGGCTAGAGCAGCAGTGGCTTCAGAGGCGTTAGCAGTGCACAGTGTCCAAACTGGGGCTGCAGGTCAGACGCGAAGCAAGCTCATAGCCAGGCGCGGTGGCTCACACCTGTAATCTTAGCACTTTGGAAGGCCGAAGAAGGAAGATCATTTGAGCCCAGGAGTTCAAGACCAGTCTGGGCAACATAGAGAGACCCTGTCTCGGCTGGGCACAGTAGCTCACACCTGTAATCCCAGCACTTGGGGAGGCCGAGGTGGGCAGATCACTTGAGGTCAAGAGTTCGAGACCAGCCTAGCCAACATGGTAAGGCACCGTCTCTACTAAAAATTCAAATATCAGCCAGGCATGGTGGCACACGCCTGTAATCCCAGCTACTTGGGAGGCCGAGGTAGGAGAATCACTTAAACCTGGGAGGCGGAGGTTGCAGTGAGCCGAGGTCACACCACTGCACTCCAGCCTGAGTGACAGAGCAAGACCCCATCTCAAAAAAGGAGAGAGAGAGAGAGAGACGGTGTCTCTACAAAAATAAGAAAAAAATAGCTAGGAGCAGTGGTACATGTCTGTAGTCCCAGCTATTCAAGAGGCTAAAGCTGGAGGATCGCTTGAGTCTGGGAGGTCAAGGCTGCAGTGAGCTATGATCACGCCACTGCACTCCAGTCTGGGCAACAGGACGCGTCTCAAAAAAGCCCAAGAAAATAAAACAAGCAGTTCTGTCCCTGGTAACTTTGGCCTATAAAGTCTGAGGTGAAAGCCATGGGGAGAACCGTGGAGTTCTCAGCTTGCCCATTCAGTCCTTACCAGTTTTGCTGCCATTGTCCTAATGTGCTTTGTTAATGCAGTGAACACATGGGCTTCCAAGGAGGGAGGAGACAGGAGAAGTGTGTTTATTATTCATCCTGGCATGAGAACCACAGAGACTGGTGTTGATAAGGAAGAAACCACCTACGATGTAGTTTCTTAGCTGTCTTCTTTTTGTTTATCTTCACTTCACACATACACTCATCAAGTGTTCCATGTGGGGTTGTTTCTTTAATTGCCATTACACCTAAATTTGAATTATGATATACCAACATTAAATTTAATTAGAGTCAGTAGGAATATCAAATGACCCCCGTGGGTTCAGAGTGAGTTTGGGGCCTAGGTTTTTGTTTTTTAGAAACAGTCTTGCTCTGTCACCCAGGCTGGAGTGCAGTGGCACAGTCATAGCCCACTGCAGCCTCCAACTACCGGGCTCAGCAGTCCTCCCACCTCAGCCTCCCAAGTAGCCGAGACTACAGGGCGATTTCTATTTTTTTGTAGAGAGGGAGTGTCACCATGTTACCCAGGCTGGTCTCAAACTCCTGAACTCAAGTGATCCTCCTGCCTTGGCCTCCCAAAGTGCTAGAATTACAAGTGTAAGCCATTGCACCTGGCCCCATAAGATGTGCTTAGGCACTAATGAGCTGTTATTCAAGTTGAATGCCGATCACTTCACAGATTTATCACATTAAAAAAATGCCCACAATGGTATTTTTGTAATAGCTTTATTGAGATATAATTCACATACCATACAATTCACCCACTTAAAGTACACAAGTCAGTGGTTTTTATTATATTCACAAAGTCGTCCAACCATTACCACAATCAATTTTAGAACATTTTTATCACCCCAAAAGAAACCCCATACCCATAGCAGTTACTTCCCTTCCTCCTTTCCTACCATCTCCTGGCAACCACCAATCTATTTTCTATTTATCTGCATTTTCCTCTGGACAATTTACAGAAATGGAGTCCAATATGTGGCCCTTTGTATCTGGTGTCTTTCACTGAACATGATGTTTCAAGGTTTATTCCTGTTGTGGCATGTGTCAGTCTTTCATCTGTTTGATGGCTGAATAATACTCCATTGTATAGACTTACCATTGAGTTAATGGACACTTGAGTTCTTATCACTATTTGGCTATTATGAATAATGCTACTATGAACATACATGTGGGTCGAGCGCGGCGGCTCACGCCTATGGTTCCAGTGCTTTAGCAGGCCAAGGCGAGCGGATCACGAGATCAGGAGATAGAGACCGTCCTGGCTAACACAGTAGAACCCCATCTCTACCAAAGGTGCAAAAAATTAGCCGGGCGTGGTGGTGGGAGCCTGTTGTCCCAGCTACTCGGGAGGCTGAGGCAGGAGAATGGCATGAACCTGGGAGACAGAGCTTACAGTGAGCCAAGATCGCGCCACTGCACTCCAGCCTGGGCGACAGAGTGAGACTCCGTCTCAAATTTAAAAAAAAAAAACCAAAAAACATACATGTACAAATTTTTGTGTGGACGTGTATTTTTATTTTTTTCCCTACAGTACTTTTTTGAGCTGGGAAAAATCAAACTTAACAATATAACTCAATGTGACTTTTGTTTAAAACTCAAGTGTCTCCCTTAGGGTTTGGAACATCAGGCTGGAAGAGAAGCCTGAGATGGGATCCTCTCCCTTCAGAACCTGCGGCCTGTTCCCAGTATGGGGGCCGGAGCATCAGGGCTTTGAGCATCTCACCTTCCTTTTCCCTTGCAGGGAGCTGCTGCGCTGCGAGGCTGCGCTGGCCAGGCTGTACTGCCGCATGGCCCTGCTCAACATCTTCGCCCCCAAGTTGCCTCACTTGTTCACCCGCCTCTTCCACATCCCTGCCATCCGGGACATTACCCTGGAGCACCTGCAGCTGCTGTCCAATCAGCTCCTCGCGCCACCCCTCCCAGGTAAAACTTGGCTTTGCTGCTGTCACTCTGGAACTCAGCACCAGGCGGGTGCTGTGCATAGTGTAGTCATTCCCCGCGTGAGGGCGAGAAGTGCCTCATTGTGCGCATAGGCTCATGTGAGAAATTGCACCCAGGAACTGGGATTCTCCTGGCAGGGCTTTCTCACTCTTTGAAAAATGTAATGGATTACTCTCTTGAGTCATTACTCTGTTAAGCATTCATCGAGTTTCCCAGAATAATTGTGGATCAAAGAAAATTAAGTATTATTTATGAAGCCAAGTCACTGTATTGTTGCCACAGACAGTGTATTTGACATTAGAAAGAAAGGGAATGTTCCTGTCATCAGCGTCCTCCAAAGCAGACCTATTTGGTTCATCATAAGTTCTGGTGAGGCTGTTCCAAAGGTCAGCCCTTGGCATGAGGGCTGTGTCTGCTACCCAGTGAATGCCAGGTGATGAGTCTGCCCTCAGCCCTGTCCAGGACTGAGGGGCCCTTTCTGTCTTCCCCTGGCATCTCAGCCTCTGACCTGCCCCCTTGATCTCCCAGCAACTAAGATGGAAACAAGAGGTCTTAGCTGGGCGTAGTGGTGGGTGCCTGTAGTCCCCAGCTACTCGGGAGGCTGAGGCAGGAGAATCACTTGAACCCAGGAAGTGGAGGTTGCGGTGAGCCGAGATTGTGCCACTTCACTCCAACGTGGCAACAGAGCAAGACTCTCTCTCTCAAAAAAAAAAAAGAGGTGAGGCAGGCAGGGGGCACCCCTCAAAGCTCATTTGCAGATAGCATTCTGAGCTCAGTCAGCATCCTGGGTAGCTGCCCTCCAGCTGACAACTGTGGGGTCCCACCCAGCCAGGGCATGTATGCCCTACATCTCTACTGGCCCATATGAGCACCTGGGGTCCACAGCCCACCCCAAGAACTTAGATGCCCTGAAACATACCTGGAAAGCATCAAGTGTGGTGGCAGAAGCTTTGCCATGATGATCTAACAAGCTTCTCTACAGGCTCTGCCCTGAGGTACCCTGCGAGGGCGGGCCAGGGTAGTCAGACAGATCAGGCTCTAGGAACCCCTGGATCCAAGCAGCCCCATTTGATATATTTCATAGACCTGGGCCTCTCTTTAGATTTTATTTTAGGAAACAGTTTCACAGCTGAAAAGAAAGCAAAAGTATGATGCCCATTGATCTCCTGGGTCCCCCTCCACCATCCTAAAGCAGAGGATCTGATTGCCGGCATCTGTTATCCAGGACATCATATCCAGGATAACCCTCCCATCTGGGGTTTCTGGATGGGTTATTCATTGTCTGTTACTTAGACTCTCGCAGCTACTGGCTGCTTTGATTCTTGTCAACTTCTGTTTCCTTTCCGTCCCCAGACGGCACCATCAGCTCCAGCTCGATCCTCCTGGCGCAGTCTTTACAGCATTGCATCCATTCCCAGAACTGCTCCGCCACGGACCTCTTTTACCAGGGCAACTCCCAGACAGTGAGAGAGTGGCTCAACGTGGCCATCACCCGGACCCTGCACCAGGGCGAGGAGAGCCTTTTAGAGCTGACGAAACAGATCTGCTCTTTCCTGCAGGTAGAAGTCTAAAGCTCATGTTCCTGCAGTGTGGTTACCGTTTTTTACTGGGAGTCTCACTGGCTTGCTGAAAATGACTCTCCTTTCCCCTCCAAGTCCCCATTCCTCTCAATTTCCTTTTCCTAGAAGCTCTTCTGCTTTATCTCATCTGTAGGTTGCTTCCTTCCAGAGGGCTATTTAGTCGTTTGGCTGATTTCCTGGGCCATGTGAGATGAGAAGATGAAATGCTGTCCCTATGTTTAGCCCGTGGCTTTCCTTATTCAATGTCTCTTTGCAGACAGCACCAGAGCAGTTCCCCTCCGAAGAGTTCCCAATTTCCGAATCCAAAGTCAACATGGATGTGAATTTCCCTGGGGCAGCTTTTGTTGTTGTGTCTTGTAAAGAAAGTCAATCTGGATTCCGCAAAGAGTAAGTTGCCTGTTCTCAAGAAGATGGTGATGGGGAGAGGAAAGCTAAATAAATTCTAGTGAAACTGGCCAAGGAAAAAAATTCAAATCACTTTGATTCTTTAATGCAAATGACTTACAGTTCTCTTCATATTTCTGTGTTTGGGGAATTAGTCTATAAAGAATGACCTTCTAAAGTATGGTGGAAATGACTTGGGCCCAGTTCTCATCTAATGTCCCCTGGTGAGAAGGCAATGCTGCCTGTCCCCATGTGCGTGGCTAGACCCTGTATTAACACCCACCCATCCCTCTTTCTCAGCTCCTCTCTGTACAAGGCGCCATGGGCACGGGTGCTTGTATACGGCCTCGGCCACAAAGTGAAGCGAAATGGCCAGCTGAACCTCATCGAGGCCGCCTGTTACCCACGGGACGCATCCCCGGCCAACACTGGGCTTGCACCTCCCCCCACCGCTGACCAGTACCCCTCTGTGGTCCTCTCCACAGACAGGGTCCACATCAAACTGGGTGAGTCTCCAGCAGCTTGTCGTGATGAGAATAGCTGGAGTCATTCTCCGCTTGCCTTCTTTGTGAAGCTGTAATGAATTGTGTACCTTGCATTTTCCAATTCCTATTGATAAAGAATAGGACTTCTTGGGACTTCTTCTAGAAGAAACTGCTGTTTCTTTTAGAGGCAGTAAATTAAAAGACTTATCTTTCCTACCTAGGGAAGGCCTGGCAGATGCTGTCCAGACTACATTGGAGATTTCGTTTCTTTTCACAAGTGTGTGCTGAGATGTGTCTGTTTAGAATGATATAACCAGAGCAATCACAACCTTACAGCTGACTCAGGCTATGATAATCCCAGTTGCCATTCCTTGAGTTCTCATTAACCAAATTCTCAACATGGCTCACCGGGGCACTGGCCACTGTGAGCGTCTGCTCCTCATCTAACTGGAAGCTCGATTGCTCTCATCTCCTGGGCATTTTTTTGAAGCCTCCATGGTTTTAGAGTTAGATGAGGGCTCTGCCTCCACATGCCCTGAAGCTGTCACTGCCTGTCCTCTGTATGCACCAGGGCCCGCTGGCTCTGTATCTGAGTATGCACAGAAAAGAAAGGAAATCCTTGCTTGTCACAGGCCTGCACTGCTCCTTCTTGGCATGCTTGACAGGAAAAGACTGACACGTGTTTGCCAGAGACAGAAAACATATATGAACTTTTAGCCAAAATAACAGGCCTGGGCTTCTCCACAGCCCCAGTCCTTGAGACACTGCATCTTAGGGAATGAAATGAAAGGACATTTCTTAAGTGATTTGGTCATTGCTAAACAACTTTATGGTCTTTTTTATTAGAGTCTGTTTTTCATAGTATTTTGCCTATACTAGCTATATTTTAAACTTTACATTTAAAACAGAGGATCTCTGTCATTCCACAATTATCACCATGTAAACATTCACCCCAGAGTACACAAGCTAATGTGGTTTGCTTCTGACTTGTCCAAAGCCCTCTGATGCCCTGGCTTCTGTCTGACTGGTGTTTATAGAGGGGCTTGGGGTGCAGTGCAGGATGTGAGGGGGATCAAGCCTTGGACCTTCTTCCTTTCACCATAGACAGCTTTGGTCACACGTAGGCCACGGCAGTGACAAAAGGTGATAAGATAATCAAAACCCAAGGTGCCAGTAGTCTTAAGTCTTGGGGACCCCTTGCTGGTCCACTGTATAAGCATAATGGTCTTAGTGGGATTGCAGCCATACCAAAGGACTGATTATTTCTTTACCAAGCTGGGAATATCCCAGTGAGGCATCTTTTAAAGTGTTACTTACTGTCCCCGTTTTAGTTGGTATCTAACTGAATGACAAGTGCGTGTCCTCTGTTCTCATCTCTGCCCTTTGTCGCATTTGCTGAATCCACCCCAGTAAGAGGACTCCCTGGAGGGATAGCCTCCATCTCCTCGTGTCCCTGCAGCCCGCTGTCCGGAGTGTCGGGAGTTATGTGTCCTCATCCTGGAGCAGATGAGTGGGTGGGCTCTCCAGCCCTGTTTCTGCGTGCACACCTGGCAGGATCTTTTGTGAGGCTTATTTGGGTCAGGTGCTGCCAATCACCTGCTTTCCTCCTGGGTGCTTCTTGCAGGGGTGTCTCCACCTCCTGGAGCGGTTCTGGTGTTACATTCCTTGCCCCTGGAGTTCCCACTGGCTATGGCCTTCGCAGAGCAGCTGCTGTCCTGGAAATCAGAGGACAGTGAAGGGAAGTCCGAAGATGAGCCTGACACCATTCCAACATCCGTCCTCCTGCAGGTGGTGGAGCTGCTAGGTGAGGCTGCCTTCCCTGGGGATCGGAATCTAGGGTGTGGGTGGAGCTGGCATGGTGCCTGAGGAAGGAGCTTGCCAGGTGGTGCAGGGAGTGGCCACAGGTAACCCAGGCAGCTGCAGCCTCCTTCAGATTGCTGTCGTTTGAAGTGGGCTTGGGGAATAGATCTTAAGGTACAACCTAGACTCCCAAATCCATGATTTGTCGGGTATTTTCATTATTTTTTTTTTTTTTTTTTTTTTTGAGACGGAGTCTCGCTCTGCCACCCAGGCTGGAGTGCAGTGGCCGGATCTCAGCTCACTGCAAGCTCCGCCTCCCGGGTTCATGCCATTCTCCTGCCTCAGCCTCCCGAGCAGCTGGGACTACAGGCGCCCGCCACCTCGCCCGGCTAGTTTTTTGTATTTTTTAGTAGAGACGGGGTTTCACCGTGTCAGCCAGGATGGTCTCAATCTCCTGACCTCGTGATCCGCCCGTCTCGGCCTCCCAAAGTGCTGGGATTACAGGCTTGAGCCACCGCGCCCGGCCGTATTTTCATTATTTTGAGGAGTGGCAACTAACGAACGACGAAAATAAGATTAACTTTATCCACTTTACTTTAAAACAGAAGTATATGCCATTATTATAACTTTAGGGGTGAAGGGTGGTGTGGAAATGAACAATGTTGCAAAATCAAAGGTTATAACTGCATAGGTCCTCAAAGGGTCAAGAAGGTTGCAAAACTCATGGAATGATAAATGTAAAAGTTGTACATTTTACCATATGCAAATTTACCTAAACAAGTTCTAAATAAATATTAAACTTTAATTAATGATATACCTCTTTAAGTGTGTAGGGAGGAAGCATACAGATGTCTACAACTTATTTTGAAATAATCAAAAACTAAGATGGGTGTGTGGATGAAGAGAGGGGTAGATAGACATGTAGTAGAGCAAATACACAACATGTTTATGGTGGAATCTAGCTGGTAAGTACACAGGTATTTACTGTATAATTTCTTCAGGCTTTCTGTATTTTTTAATTTTTTCATGATGTTGCAGGGAAGAAAACATTGCACACTCGGCCGGGCGCGGTGGCTCACTCCTGTAATCCCAGCACTTTGGGAGGCCGAGGTGGGTGGATCACCTGAGGTCAGGAGTATGAGACCAGCCTGACCAACATGATGAAACCCTGTCTCTACTAAATACAAAAAATTAGCCGGGCATGGTGGTGCATGCCTGTAATCCCAACTACTCAGGAGGCTGAGGCAGGAGAATTGCTTGAAACCCAAGAGGCAGAGGTTGCAGTGAGCTCAGATTGCGCCATTGCACTCCAGCCTGGGCAACAAGAGTGAAGCTCCATCTCAAAACAGAAAACGTTGCACACTCGGATGCCTTCAGTGCCTTCAGGGTTCAAACAGATCAGCTAAATGAGGGAAATAAAGAGGAAAGTTGGCAGGGGGACTTTGGTGAGCTGGAGGCACAGAGGACACGTGTCCTGTCACCCACTGCTACAGGAGAACATGGCCCTGCTCCTGCCAGAACCGTAATTTCTTATTTCAAGAAAATCCAGGAATCCAAATGTCGATGTGAATTTCTCAATTTTTAAATGTTGGCAACCAAGTCAAATTCTTTCATACACCCTAGGAGGGCCGAGTGCAGTGACTCACACTTGTAATCCAGCACTTTGAGAGGCTGAGGCAAGAGGATCGCTTGAGTTCAGGATATGGAGCAACATAGCCAGACCCTTTCTCTGCAAAAAAAATGAAAAACACCCAGGGAGTGGATAGGGGGAACATAAGCGGGAACACTGTCTGAGAATGAGTTTCAGCTCATAGGCCGCCATGTATAATTTTGGTGAAGAACTATCTCCAAGGTCATCTTACATGAATGCTAAATGGTAAAGCAAGGACATCGGAGGTGACGTGAATAGTTCTAGCTTCTGAGGGCCTAGCCCTGTGCCCCAGTGGAGAGGGGAGCATGGACACCTGTCCTCTGTGAAGGTTCTATGAGAACCCATGTTCCAGGACAGTCACAAACTTGTTTCCAACCAGAATTCGCAAGCAATGTCAGTCCTGAGAGAGCAGGAAGCTTGGTCCCCTCGTTGGTAGGTGCTGGACTTAATAAGTCAGCTTCAGCAGGCCCTTGGGATTCCCCCGGCCAGTAATCTTTTATCCTGTACAAGAGCCATCTGGATGTAGCAAACTGCAGTTCGCTCTTTTGCAGGGTGAGGGCTCAGCTGGCTCAGTGGGATGCAGGCTTTAGATGTTCATGATCCCTAATCGTGTCTTACGTACATGAGCTTTCTCTCTTTCCACTCAGATCCAGGGTATGTGTGAATGTAAGATACGCGTCTGGTACAAAGGAGACCTTGGCACAAACGTGTGGTCCATCTTGTGGTTCTAGACAGTGTTTCCCAAACTTCAGTCATTATCATGCCACCATTGTATGATTGTTGCCAGGTCCACAAATTGTGCCTATCAGCATTTATTTACTTACTTATTTTATTTTTTTGAAATGGAGTCTCGCTGGAGCGCATTGGCATGATCCACTGTACCCAGGCTGGAGTGCAGTGGCATGATCTCAGCTCACTGCAACCTGTGCCTCCTGGGTTCAAGTGATTCTACTGCCCCAGCCTCCTGAGTAGTTGGGAGTACAGGCGCCCGCCACCATGCCCAGCTAATTTTTTTGTATTTTTAGTAAAAACGGGATTTCACTATGTTAGCCAAGCTGGTCTCAGTCTCCTGACCTCAGGTGACCCACCTGCCTTGGCCTCCCATAATACTGGGATTATAGGCATGAGCCACTGCACCCAGCCAGCATTTATTTATTTAACAGTTTTTATTGCAATCAACTCCTCCTTTTTTAAAACTTAAATTTAGTTTTAAGGAAACCTTGGCCAGGCACGGTGGCTCATGCCTGTAATCCCAGCACTTTGGGAGGCCGAGGTGGATCACGAGGTCAGGAGATCGAGACCATCCTGGCTAACACGGTAAAACCCCTTCTCTACTGAAAATACAAAAAATTAGCCAGGCATGGTGGCGGGCGCCTGTGGTCCCAGCTACTTGGGAGGCTGAGGCAGAAGAATGGCGTGAAACCAGGAGGCGGAGCTTGCAGTGAGCCGAGATCACGCCACTGCGCTCCAGCCTGGGTGACAGGGCGGGACTCTGTCTCAAAAAAAAAAAAAAGAAAACCTTTACATCACTTCTCTAAATACAAAATTAGTATCCATTGGCATAACTAAAAGGTGCCCATAAAAATAAATACAGGCTGGGCCTGGTGTCTCACACCTGTAATCCCAGCACTTTGGGAGGCTGAGGCAAAAGGATGACTTGAGCCCAGGAGTTCAAGACCAGCCAGGGCAACACAATGAGACCCTGTCTCAATCAGTCAATCAGTCCATCTGTCCATCCATTCATACATACATACATACATACATTCAAAGAAAAGAGTTGCCGTCACAAAAATCTAGCTGAATGCTGTTCCCTGTCAAAGGCTCTGGGACTCTGGCCCACTTTCTCTTAAGGATATGCCAGCCGGCCAGGCACAGTGGCTTACACCTATTAATCCTAGCACTTTGGGAGGCCGAGGCGGGTGAATCACCTGAGGTCAGCAGTTAGAGACCAGCCTGACCAACATGGAGAAACCCTGTCTCTGCTAAAAATACAAAATTAGCCGGGTGTGGTGATGCATGCCTATAATCCCAGCAACTCGGGAGGCTGAGGCAGGAGAATTGCTGGAACCCAGGAGGCAGAGGTGGTGGTGAGCCAAGATTGCGCCATTGCACTCCAGCCTGGGCAAGAAGAGCACAACTCCGTCTCAAAAAAACAAAAAAGAATATGCCAGCCTTGGCCAGGTACAGTGGCTCACACCTGTAATCCCAGCACTTTGGGAGGCTGAGGCACACAGACCACTTGAGGCCAGAAGTTCAAGACCAGCCTGGCTAACATGATGAAACCCCATCTCTTCTAAAAATATAAAAATTATCTGGGTGTCCTGGCACATGCCTGTAATTCAAGTTACTCTGGATGCTGAAGCATGAGAATTACTTGAACCTGGGAGGCGGAGGTGGTAATGAGCTGAGATCACACCACTGCACTCCAGCCCGGGTGATAGAGGCAGACTCTGTCTCAGCAAACAAAACAAAACAAACAAACAAACAAAAACAAAGTAGCTTAAAAAATTATTAAAGAAGGCCAGGCACAGTAGCTCATGCCTATAATCCCAGCACTTTGGGAGGCTGAGGCGGGTGGATCACGAGGTAGGTCAGGAGTTCAAGACCAGCCTGACCAAGGTGATGAAACCCTGTCTCTACTAAAAATACAAAAATTAGCTGGACATGATGGTAGGAGCCTGTAATCCCAGCTATGCGGGAGGCTGAGGCAGAGAATTGCTTGAACCCAGGAGTCAGAGGTTGCAGTGAGCTGAGATCATGCCACTGCACTCCAGTCTGGGTGACAGACTGAGACTCACTCTCAAAAAATAAAAAAATAAAGTATTTTTAAAATATGATTTAAATTTTTAAAAAGATTTAAAAAAAAAAGAATGTGCCAGCCTCATGACCAGGCACAGTGGCACACACCTATAAACCCAGCGCTTTGGGAGGCTGAGGTGGGAGGATCACTTGAGCCCAGGAGTTCTAGACCAGCCTGGGCAACATGGCAAAACCATGAAAACTGTCTCTGCAAAAGAAAAATAATAATACAAAAATTAGCTGGGCATGGTCTCACACACCTGTAATCCCAGCTACTCAGGCTGAGGTATCGCTTGAGCCCAGGAGGCTGAGGCAGCAGTGAGCTATGATTGTGCCACTGCACTCCAGCCTGGGTGACAGAGCAAGACCCTGTCTCAAAAAACAAACAAACAAAAAAAAAACCACCCTCAAAGTAAGGCTTTCTTGTTGACAAAAATCAGGACTAAAAGAGGAGTTTAAAAGGAACAATGTTTCAGTGTGTGTTTCAGTGCCATTTGGTAAAATTGGCTTGTGTGCCCCATAGTAAGCATCCAGTACTTTGGGAAACATTATTCTAGGGACTTATCACCAACATGCTGCATAACCTTTTGAGACAGAAAATGATGGTGTTTTGCTGGCACCCTGCCATTGGGCACAAGGGTCAAAGCCTTCACCTCTGGGGCCGACCCCTGAGCTCTGAATCCCAGCTCTCTTGTCTAGTAGCTGTGCCACCTCCAGCCAGGCCTCCACCTCCCAACCTCTGTTTCTCCATCTGTAAGAAGGGACTGAATTGCACAGTCTCTGTTCACAGGGTTGTTATGAGGGGCCTGGAACGTAGCCAGTGCTGCATAGTCATTACTGTTATTATTTTCATTTGCCTCAGGAAACTTCCTGTGGACCACGGACATGGCAGCCTGCGTGAAGGAGCTTGTTTTCCATCTCCTGGCAGAGCTCCTGCGCACTGTGCACACCCTGGAGCAGAGGCGGCACCCCGCTGGCCTGTCCTCCTCAATCGCCCTCCAGCTGAACCCCTGCCTGGCCATGCTGATGGCCTTGCAGTCAGAGCTCCACAAGCTGTACGATGAGGAGACGCAGAACTGGGTCTCAGGCAGCACCTGTGGGGGATCCGGGGGCCCAGCGGCCGGCGACCAGGGCAGGTTCTCTACGTATTTTCATGCACTCATGGAAGGGTGCCTGGCGGTGGCCGAAGTGACCCTGCCTACTAACATGAGTGTCACAGCCAGCGGGGTGACCTCAGCGACCGCCCCAAATCTCAGTGACTCGTCCTCCTCCTCCTCGTCCTCGCCAGGACAGACCCCGCAGAGTCCCAGCCTCCTCTCCAAGAGGAAAAAAGTCAAGATGAAGCGGGAAAAGGCCGCCTCGTCGGGCAAGCGCCAGTCTTCCCGCACCGTGGACTCGGACCCCACTGTGCTCAGCATCGGAGGCAGCAAGCCCGAGGACATGCTGTGGTTCCACCGTGCACTCACCTTGCTCATCATCCTCCGCCACCTCACCAGGAAGGACCCACAGGGGCTGGGCGTGACGAGTGACGCCATCGCTGATGCCTGCCAGGCCCTAGTGGGCCCCACCGCCCACAGCCGTTTGCTTGTGATCTCCGGGATCCCCACCCACCTGGACGAGGGCGTAGTCAGAGGCGCCATCCGCAAGGCCTGCAACGCCCACGGCGGGGTCTTCAAAGACGAGATCTACATCCCGCTGCAGGAAGAAGACCCCAAGAAGCCGAAAGACAAGGCCGAGGGCGGGGACGGGAAAGCTGAGCCCGAGAAGACACTGGCCTTCCCTGGCTCAGACAGCATGGAAGTCAGCACGTCCAGCAGCCTGACCCCCGCCATGAGCATCAGCGCCTCTGCCTCCACCAGCCAGGCTTCCATCTGCAGCTCCCAGGGCATCTCCCAAACTGTCAGCGACCTCTCCGTGGATCCGCTGCCTGCCGGCCTCGAGCTGCCCATCCCTCCGGGCCTGTTGGAGCCCCACGTGGTGTCCAGCCAGGAGAGCCTGGACATTTCCCTGTGCAGCACCGGCAGCCTGGGCAGCCTGGGCAGTCTGGGGGAGCCCCTGGACAATGCAGAGACGGCCTTGGTGTCAGACATGGGCTCCATGTACACAGTAACTTCCCTGGACCACCAGCCCCTAGTGGCACGCCCCATCAAAGGCTTCGCAGTGGTGGAGGTAACAGCTCTCAAGCCTCTGCAACCACTAAATCATGACCCATTTCAATCCCCCAAGCCTCTTTAAACCTTCCAAATTTATTTCCTAGTAGGTAATGGTGGAGCAATCAGGGGCTCCCTGGGGTAGCCCTTGGAATGAGCACAATGAGTCTGCTGGGGATGACATCTCTAAGAGTGACACCAAGTCCCATATCACGAAGTAAAGGGGAGCCAGAGTGCTCAGGGCCTGGCCTTCCATGGTGGGTGGCTGCCATCGGTGCATTCTAACTCAGCCCCGTCGCATCTTCTTGAGCAGCCTTGGGTTCTTTTTGTTCTTTTTGGTGTTGCCATTGGTAGGAGGGATGGTCACTGAGCAGTGTGAGGATAGACGCTTGCCATTCTGTCCCAGGTGATTCTGAGTTTCAGATAACCTGCATGCCAGCGAGTCATAGTTCCACTGCAGGATCCCATGTATTTCGTAAGCCTCGCTGTTTAGAAATCCTGCATCAAAGCCTTTCTGTGCCTTTGCATAACAGTACAGGTAGGGAACTGACATGCGTTATACTCTCCCAGCAGGCTCTGCAAGGAGGGTTCAAGGATCAAGCAGCTAGTTTCTTTCCTAGAATCACTTCTTTGAATCCTTCATCCTCCTTCGTGGGGACTTCCTCAGTTAGGCATGGATTTTTACTCCCTGGGAAACAGAGGCAAGCCACAGACCTAGCCGAGGTTTAGTGACGAGGTTTCAGGTTGAGTCGTTTGCTAAAAGTTGCTGTTGTTGGCCTGTGGGAGAAAGTTTCCCAGGAGGTCCAGCTCACCGGAGTCGGGCAGCTCTCACATCTCTCCAGACGAATAGAGAGTTTCCAGGAAAAGGTGGAAGGGAGAAGTTCACTCACACTGAATGCCTGGTCACGCTACTCAAATCCTGACCCTGTTCTCTGTTCACACAGATAAGATCCCGAGCCAAAATTGAGAAAATTCGAGCAAGTTTATTTAACAATAATGATTTGATTGGTTTGTCAAGTTTGGATGGTGAAGATGAATTGATGGAAATGTCAACCGAAGAGATTCTAACCGTGTCTGTAGTAAATCAGAGTCTCTTTGATACTCAAGGGAGCCCAGGGTTAGAAGATTATTTCAATGATAAGTCAATTAAAGGTGGGTTCTGGATTTGTTTTTAATCTGTAGACTTTTTGTGGAGCAATTTTAGGCTCACAGAAAAAAATTGCATTAAAATCTCCTCTCCTCCCCAGTGTCCCCTATTTTTAACATCTTGCATTAAAGAGGAACTTGGCAGCTATTCCTGGGTTGCAGATTTTGAAAACAATTCAGAGAGTGTTGGGGAGATGGGACAAGAGGCTCCATTGTTTGCCAGTAGGGGCTGATTGTGTGCATCTTTGTATGATGTGAAAAGAAGAAATGTTCCCCTCCTCTCCCAGCTGTCAGGGCGCTGAAGGCCATGGGGGCAGCCCCTGCCACAGGCCTGCCGTGTTCCAGCTGGAGAGGCTACCAGGGGTGGCTTTGTACCGCCTGCAACAGGCTTGAATGTGGGCTTGTATTCAAGTCATTTTTTCCTTTTTGTCTAGCCAGGCTTCCCCTGGTTCAAGTGCAAGTGTATTTATTTTGTTCTGTCCTATGCAGCTAGAACATTGCTGGTAAGTACTTGGTCATATGCTTGAGGACAGCTCATGCCTCTCCCTTGTAAACTGACCCCTGGGAAAGAAACAGTTCCAGCCCTTTTTTCTCTGAAGTCCCGTTTGCCAGCCCTTTTGCCATTCTGGTGGCTCTTTTGTGGAGCAAACTATGTCTCCTTCCCACTAATTTCTTTTTTTTTTTTTTAATTCCTCTTTTTTTCTTTTTTTATTCCTTTTTTCTTTTTAAAATTCTTTTCTTTAAAAAAAATTATTTTACTTATTATTTGTACAGAGAGTCTTCCTATGTTGCCCAGGCTGGTCTCAAACTCCTAGACTCAAGCAGTCCTCCAGCCTCGGCCTCCCAAAGTGCTAGGACTATAGACGTGAGCCATCACACCGGCCTTAATCTAATTCTTTAATGTTTGAAATTTCGTCATAGAGTTGCTGTGTTTTGTGTTTTTGAAGTACAAAATTGTAATTTTTTCTTTTTTTTAAGACAGAGTCTTGCTCTGTTACCCAGGCTGGAGTGCAGTGGTGCAGTCTCCGCTCACTGAAATTTCCACCTGCCGGGTTCAAGCAATTCTCCCTGCCTCAGCCTCCCCGGTAGCTGGGATTACAGGCACACCACCATACCCAGTTGATTTTTGTATTTTTAGTAGAGGCAGGGTTTCACCATGTTGGCCAGGCCAGTCTCAAACTCCTGACCTCAGGTGATCCGCCTGCCTCAGCCTCCCAAAGTGCTGGGATTACAGGTGTGAACCACTGCACCCAGCCAAAAAATGTAATATTGAGTAGAGGTTTTGTTGTTTAAAATTATGACCCCAGGCCCGGCAAAGTGGCTCATGCCTGTAATCCCAGCACTTTGGAAAGCCGAGGCAGATGGATTGCTTGAGCCCAGGAGTTTGAGACCAGCCTGGGCAGCGTAGTGAGACCTCGTCTCTACAAAAAATAAAATAAGCTGGGCATGGTGGCGCATGCCTGTAGTCCCAGCTACTCAGGAGGCTAAGCTGGGAAGATCACTTGAGCCCAGGAGTCGGAGGCTGCAGTGAGCTGATACCACACCACTTGGCAAGTCAACCTGGGTGACCCCATCTTAAAAAAAAAAAAAAAAAAAAAAAACTTGCTTACCCAATCATGAAATCTGGAAATGTTCCCTCAGAGGTAGGACTCAGGTGAGGTAAGTGAGATCTTGGGGACACAATTTAATGGGGCTCCAGAAAACTAGTAGATAAATATTCTAGTACATTTTTTAAGTCCAAAATTAATGTAAGTATCGCATGATCAGCAAAGTGTTAAAATTTTAAATAAAGATAGGATCAGCATTAACTGATCTTTTTCGGTGCTCTGATATCAGTCAGCCAGCCACTGTAAATATTTTGCTTATTATGGAGGTTTTTTTACATTAATTTTTTTTTTTTTTTTTTTTTTGTTTGGATGGAGTCTTACTCTGTCGCCCAGGCTGGAGTGCAGTGGTGCGATCTCGGCCCACTGCATCCTCTGCCTCTGGGGTTCAAGCAGTTCTCCTACCTCAGCCTCCTGAGTAGCTGGGACTACAGGCACCACCATGCTGGCAAATTTTTGTATTTTTAGTAGAGAGAGGTTTTCACCACGTTGACCAGGCTGGACTTGAACTCCTGACCTCAGGTAATCCTGCGGAGGCCTGCCTCGGCCTCCCAAAGTGCTGGGATTACAAGCGTGAGCCACCTTGCCCAATTTTTTTTTTTTTTTCTTTTAGCTCACAAGTGCTACTAAATAATTTTGACTGATTAAAATACTACAGTAAAGTATTGTTTATCTTGATGACTGAGGTTTTTGGCATTTCCTTAAATCTTGCCTGGCATTGAGCAAAGGCCTCGGTGGGCTCATCCTGGTCCCAGTCCTGTCCCTTATTGGCATGTGTTTTGCCCCCTCAGCTCTCAGCTGCCCCCAAGGTCGATGTCAGGTCTGCTTGACAGGAAGCCTGAGGTCTTTCTGCCATGATTGTCTTTCCCAGTCTTCTCATACTTAGATACTGAATTTTAGTTCTAGTTCCTGGTTCTTTTACAGTCAAACTTTCCACATATGGTACCTGGTCTTTTGGTACTGCATGGATATGCCTCATGGTGCCAGGTACACTCCTCATGTGAGGGTTGTTGTTTTGTTTTGTTTTGTTTTGTTTTGTTTTCTGAAACAGAGTCTCACTCTGTCACCCAGGCTGGAATGCAGTGGCACCATCTCGGCTCACTGCAACCTCCACCTCCTGGTTTCAAGTGATTCTTGTGTCTCAGCCTCCCAAGTAGCTGAGACAACAGGCACACGCCACCACGCCTGGCTAATTTTCGTATTTTGCTTCACCATGTTGCCCAGGCTGGTCTCGAACTCTGACCTCAAGTGACCCACCTGCCTCAGCCTTCCAAAGTGCTGGGATTACAGGTGTGAGCTACCGCACCTGGCCTCATGGGTTTTCAACTTGTGACTGCTGAGTCAGCTTAGGGCTCAGCCTCTCTCTTCCCCGCACCTGCTCCTCCCACCCTCAGCCCAGATGTGCTGGAGTTGCCACAGCTGGGCCTGGCCTAGGCCAGACTCCCCAAGAGACAGAGCAGGCCAGAGGGAGTGAGGGACCTGGGTTGCCAGGAGAAGGGAGTGATTCCTGAGAACATGCAGATGGGTTCATGACTGGCCCTTTGGAAAGGCGAGAGCACCTTCTGGAGTGCTTGTTTGGGAACAAAAAAATATTTTTTCAGTGCTCATAGACAGTTTTCTTGTATCTCAGAAAACTTTCTTTTTCACCTGCTCATTGCACCAATTTTGAAGAATATTTCCTAAGAATGCGATCACCTGTTTAACAAGTTGTACTTCCAACTAAAAATACTTGCTGACTGACTATCATCTGGGATTATTCTAGACTAAACTGCTATGATAAATAGCCCCAGGAGGACAATGACTCAAGTTCAGTGGAAGTTAATTCCCTGCAGATGTAAGAGTCAGGGTGAGCACTGAAGTGTGCCCACCCTCGGGGAGGGGCCTGTCATCCCCGAGCAGCCAGGTAGGGGCCAAGTGCAGAGGACAGCAGCCTGGCCCCCATGTGGCTCACATCCCACAGTGACCACGGTTGCAGGGCCTCACCTTATGGCAAGGAAGGCTGGGCATGTGCTGGGCTGTACCCAGAGAGGGAACCAGGCTTTGGTGGGCAGCTCGCCCTTCCTCTGATGTCCATCTACTGCCCCTTTCAAACAGTGTTTGCAAACAGAATGCTCGCAGGGCTTGTCCTGATGTATGTTCACGGCAGAATTATTTTGCCCCCTCTCCATCCAACAGGGGAGAAGCTGGTGCCCGGGGCCAGAGAGGTTCTGACGGAGATATTTAAGAGCTGTGCCCATTCAGAGCAGATGCTGAGCCTGACACCAGCGAAGCCCATCAGAGTCTCTGACATTTACCTTAGCAAAGAGCAGATCAACTCCCAGACCCCAGGCAACCTCCTCCACCTCTTCTTCACCAATGTCCGGCCTCCAAAAAAGGTGCTGGAGGATCAGCTCACCCAGGTAGCTGCCCGTCCCCACCATACCCAGGCTGGGCCTCGCGTGCCCCACAGGACGAAACTCAGAGCCTCCCTGCCACCTCTGTGCTCCACAGATCCTGAGGAAGTATGGCGTGCCAAAGCCCAAGTTTGACAAGAGCAAGTACAGCAAGGCCGGGAAGGAGCAGCACCCCGTGAAGGTGGTGAGCACCAAGCGGCCCATCACCAAGCCGCCCACCAAGGACAAGGCCGTGCTCAACAGCGTCAGGTGTGTGCCCCAAGGAGCCTAGGCAGCCTCGCCTGTGGGCAGATGTGGGGGCGCCCTCCGTGCAGGAGCCTGGGGGGCTGCAGCTCCTCTGGAGGAGCCTGGTGTCAGGCTTTGTTGCCCAGGCTGGAGTGCAGCGGCCCGATCACAGCTCACTGCAGCCAGGCTCAAGCGATCCTCCCACCTTAGCCTCCTGAGTATCTGGGACTACAGGCACATGACACCTCACCTGACTAATTTTTTAAATTTTTCTGTAGAGATAGGGTTTCACCATGTTGGCCAGGCTGGTCTCGAACTCCTGGGCTCAAGCGATCAGCCTTCACTAGCCTCCCAAAGTTCCGAGGTTACAGGCAGGAGCCACTGCGCCCGGTGGGTGTCTGGGTCCTTTCTGCTGAGCTCCTTTCTCAGTCCTCAGCTCCTTCGGGTGAACATTGGAGTTTCATTTTATCCACAGGTGTGGTCAAATCCTGACCATGCAGGCTGGAAAGCCGACCCATCTAAATGAAGACAACATCTAAAATGTTGTACTTTTTGTTGTTGTTGTTGTTGTTGTTGTTTATTATACTTTAAGTTCTAGGGTACATGTGCACAACATGCAGGTTTGTTACATGTGTATACATGTGCCATGTTGGTGTGCTGCACCCATTAACTCATCATTTACATTAGGTATATCCCCTAATGCTATCCCTCCCCCCGTACATTTTTTTTAATCCTACTTCTTTTAGCCACACGAATAATGCATAGTTATTGTAGGAAGATTAGAAAATGTATAACGCCTTAAGCCCAGGAGTTCAAGACCAACATGGCAAAACCCCATCTCTACAAAACAATATAAAAATTAGCTGACTGTGGTGGCATGCACCTGTGGTCCCAGCTACTCAAGAAGCTACTCAAGAAGCTGAGGCAGGAGGATGGCTTGAGCCCCAGAAGTCAAGGCTGCAGTGAGCCATAATCACACCACTGCACTCCTGTCCAGCCTGGGTGACAGAGCGAGACCCTGTCTCAAAAAAAAAAAGAAAAAGAAAATGCATAGTGCCTATTGGAAAAAATTAAATTGCCCCGTGCACAGCAACTACTTTTAGGTACATGACCTTTGATTTATGCCTCTATATTATTTTCTTAAGTTTTGAACGACTAAAATAGTACAAAATTCAAAAGCATGTGCAGTGAAAAGCCACTCTTCCTTCCGACCATTCTTAAGCCTTGAAGTTCCCCTCCCTGAGCCTGCAAGGTTACTTCTGTAGCCTTTCAGAAGAACCCTTTCTGTAAATATAGAAGCAATTCTATACATATGCCCAGTGTTGGGTACCATACACAATGTCCACACCTTGCCATTTTTATTTTTCTTATTTATTTTTTATTTTTTGAGACGGAGTCTCGCTCTGCCGCCCAGGCTGGAGTGCAGTGGCGTGATCTCAGCTCACTGCAAGCTCCGCCTCCCGGGTTCACACCATTCTCCTGCCTCAGCCTCCCGAGTAACTGGGACTACAGGCGCCCGCCACCACGCCCGGCTAATTTTTTGTATTTTTGGTAGAGACGGGGTTTCACCGTGTTAGCCAGGATGGTCTCGATCTCTTGACCTCGTGATCCGCCCGCCTCGGCCTCCCAAAGTGCTAGGATTACAGGCATGAGCCACCGCGCCCGGCTGCCATTTTTATTTAATACTAATTTTGGAAATCATTTCAGACCAGTACAAAAAGAATTCCGCATTCCTTTTTTAAAAAATAGCTACATGGCATTCCATGTGTGGATATGCATATAAATGTAATAGAATATTCTTTAGATACGGGGTCTATGACTCTCGAGTACACAGAGATGAAACCTTGATAGCAAAATATTACCTAGCAAGAATCGCTAGAGGAATTGTTTAACCAGAAAAATAAAGGTTTTAAAAAGTTAATTCATTATGTAGAAATGGTGTTTTTCAATCAGCACTGTCCCATAGTGCTTTCTGTGCTGGTAGAAATCAGTGCTATGTCTATATCTGTGCTGTTGAGTACAGCAGCCCCTAAGCCACAACTGGCTATGGGGCATTTGCATTGTGGCAAGGGTGAACAGGAACTGAATTCGTGATCATATTTCATTTTAATTAACTTTAGGTAGCTACATCTGGCTAGCAGCTACCTTACAGAACAATGTAGCTCTAAAATATGTAGAAAGAGGGTCTGAAAAGAGTCTCTGCAAGATTTTTCACATTTTAAGGCACGGATTTGTCCTTGTAATTTGCTCAGTAAACTTTTCTCACTCAGAGCAAAGGCGATCTTGAACCTAGCCCTGTCTGAGCCCTAAGCCCTAAGTTGGAGGAGGGGGCAGGAATCAATGACTGTACGAGGCTGTGTATTTCCTATTGGGAGGAGGTGTGAACGTGCATTAGTCTAATTCCAGTGCTTTGGTCTACAGCAGGACTGCCTTAAGTGAGAAGAAGCCAACTGTGAAGCCAAAGTCACCAGAAAAGAGCAAACCAGATGAAAAGGACCCAGAAAAGTCCCCTACCAAAAAACAAGAAGGTGAATGAGCAGATGGGGCCTGGAGTGGGCTGGGACCTGTTTCCATCCTGGAGACTGGGCAGCCCCCCCGGAGCAGGCCTCTGCTTTTCCCGACTGGCCACTCTCCTACTGAGATGGCCTCTGCTCTGGGCTCTGGGTTCCCTGGGGTATCAGGCAGGGCAGCATTTCCAGAGATTCTGGGAAATATTCCTGGCCAGGGATCGCCCCTCGATGCCATCTTTGATGACCATGAACTTGAGGAGGTAAAATAGCAGTTCCGGAAACACCACACGCCCAGGATGAAGAATAGATGATTGTGACCAAAAAGTGAAAATTGGGAAATCTGCATGGACACTTTCTTCTAGAAGGCACGGCCTAAGCTAGCAGCCCGTGTTGGGGCAGTAGAACGCAAGCCTCCAGAAAGGCCCAGGCAGCATTAGAGAAAGCTATTCTTGTTGTCTGGAAAATTGCTTTGTCAGTCGGGGATGTTTTAGAGATTCATAGAAAGAGGGGACGTGGGAAACTGCAGCCTGTTGAGGGAGACAGAGCCCTTGGAGGCCTGGGCACATGAGGGCTTATGAGTGTCCTGTGCGCAGTGGGTTGTGATGGCAAATGACAATTCCCAGAGTTACGGGAGGGAGAGGGGAATTAGGTGGGTTGTGCCTTAAGGGAGAGGCTGTGGTGAGAGCAGAGCACATTGGAGGCGTGCGACGTGCTCAGGTCTCACCAGATTCCTCACACTGGACCCTTTCCACCAGTCCCTGAGGAAAAATACCTGACGCTGGAAGGATTTCACAAATTTGTTGTTGACCGAGCCAAGCAAGACATCCGCAGTGTCTGGAGGGCGATCTTGTCCTGTGGTTATGATCTTCATTTTGAGAGGTAAGAGGGTTACCCCTCAACTCAGTTGGCACCTTGCACAGAAATTGTTTTCAGCCAAGAGCATAATTTCTGAGGAGCTGGTCCATCTCCCCTGTTGATAATGCTTTCTGAGTTATTTCATAATTTCTGAGTTTTTCCCTAAGTGCTAAATGGATTTTCTAACCCACTTGTAAACAAACCTGTTCTTTTCCTCCACACTCCTGACTTGGAGGTTGTGCTGGTCAGCTTGGGCTGCCGTGACAGGACACCACACCCTGGGTGGCTTAAACAACAGAAACTTGTTCTCTGTCAGTTCTGGAGTCTGGAAGGCCCAGATCAAGTTGTCAGCAGTGCTGGTTTCTCCTGGGGCCGCTCTTCTTGGCTCCCAGACTGCCACCTTCTCAAGGTCCTCACATGAAGTCTTCCCTCAGTACCTATCTGTGTCCTAATCTCCTCTTCTTACAAGGACCCCAGTCCTGTTGGATTAGGAACCCACTCTGATGACCTCAAGCACCTCTTTAAAGGCTCTGTCTCCAAATACAGTCACACTGGGAATTAGGGCTTCAACATATGTATCTGTTTGGGGACTGGGAGGACACAGTTCAGTCCCATAACAGACAATTTCTTACCCCAAAGAACCTTGTCCTCAGAGTCACACTTTGCCTCGAGTCCCCATTGCCCTCACTCCTTCCCAGGCAGGGGCACAGCTAGGCCACAGCTCTCCAGGGCTCCAGCACTAAATATAGTTTCCCCTTTCTAGCTATAAGTGAATCCCAGGTACTCCAGAAATCACCCTGCCCTGCCCTCCCTCTGGCTCACACGCGTGTGCACATACACACACACACCCCTACTCAGCCTTGTCCACAGCAAGTGCACCCGGCATCAATCAATGAAAATGGCTACCAGGCCGGGCACGGTGCCTCACACCTGTAATCCCAGCACTCTGGGAAGCACGAGGTCAGGAGCTTGAGACCAGCCTGGCCAATGTGGTGAAACCCCGTCTCTACTAAAAATATGAAAATTAGCCGGGCAGGGGGTACATGCCAGTAATCCCAGCTACTTAGGAGGCTGAGGCAGGACGATCACTTGAACCCAGGAGGCGGAGGTTGCAGTGAGCCGAGATCGCGCCACTATACTCCAGCCTGGGCGACAGAGTGAGACTCCATCTCAAAAAAAGAAAAAGAAAATGGCTACCAAGGCCGAGCGCGGTGGCTCATGCCTGTAATCCCAGCACTTTGGGAGGCCGAGGCGGGTGGATCACCTGAGGTCAGGAGTTCAAGACCAACCTGGCCAACATGATGAAACCCTGTCTCTACTAAAAATACAAAAATTAGCCGGGTGTGATGGCAGGCGCTTGTAATCCCAGCTACTCAGGAGGCTGAGGCAGGAGAATTGCTTGAACCCAGGAGGCAAAGGATTACAGTGAGCCAAGACTGCACCACTGCACTCCAGCCTGGGCAACAAGAGCCACACTCTGTCTAAAAAAAAAAAAAAAAAAAAAAAAGGCCAGACAAGGTAGCTCACACCTGTAATCCTAGCACTTTGGGAGACCAAGGTGGGCGGATCACCTGAGGTCAGGAGTTCAAGACCAACCTGACCAACATGGTGAAACCCGGTCTCTACTAAAAATACAAAAATTAGCTGGGTGTGATGGTAAATGCCTGTAATCCCAGCTACTTGAGAGGCTGAGGCAGGAGAATCACTTGAACCTGGGAGGTGGAGGTTGCAGTGAGCTGAGATTGCACTATTGCAGTCCAGCCTGGGCAACAAGAGCAAAACTCCATCTCAAAAAAAAAAAAAAAAAAGAAAAAGAAAATGGCTACTGAAACATGCTTTTTTTAAAAATCCATTTTCAGAATTAAGAACTGCTTTACTGCTTGCTGCCAGCCTTTTGTACCATCATTAAAGGCTCAGAGTCAGTCCTTGAATGGATCTTGCATTATGGTGGCAGGGACAAGTTTTCTGAACTTGTTTTAGAAATCAGAAACTGGGCTGGGCGCGGTGGCTTACACCTGTAATCCCAGCACTTTGGGAGGCCGAGGCAGGCGGATCACGAGGTCAGGAGTTTGAGACCCGCCTGGCCAATATGGTGAAACCCCCTCTCTACTAAAAATACAAAAATTAGCCGGGCGTGGTGATGCGCACCTGTAATCCCAGCTACTTGGGGCGCTGAGGAGGGAAGATCACTTGAGCCCGGGAGGCCAAGGCTTCAGTGAGCTGAGATCCTGCCACTGCACTCCAGCCTGGGTGACAGAGTGATACCCTGTCTCAAAAAAACAAAAAAATACCCAATAAAAGGCCACATTCCTAGGGGCCCTCTGGGGCGGTGATGATGCCCTGACACATCCTTCCTGCCTCACCGTGGACTTTTCTAAGGGAAGCCAAAGGCTTCTGCTTGGATCATTCAGCCTAGAGAGCCATGGAGGACCCCTTCTGAAAGAGGCTTAGGTCTGTCTGTGAGCACGCTTTGGATTGGACAGAGGTGGCCTGTAGGAAGGAGACACCTGATACCGCCCCCTTCCCCTGGTCCCAGGGTAATGTTCCCAATATGACATGTGGCCCACTCAAGGTGCTACAGGCTCTGGAATTAGAGGCTGTGCCAGGCCTGCCTGCCTGCCTTTCTTGGGTTAATAGCCCAATATTTGTGGAATAAGGACATGCACCCTTTCTGAAAACCTCACACAGTGTCTACCCACCCAGAAGGTCATGTCCGGAATTCGGTGCCCACAGCATGGCTCTGTGATGCTTCAGTGAATATTTCACCCAACATTTTTCTGGAAGTACATTTTTTCAGTCCCCTGAAGTGGGATCAGACAAGATATACTGCTCTGCAATCTGCTTTTTTTCTTTTGAGATAGGGTCTGACTCTGTAACCCAGGCTGAAGTGCAGTGGCACAGTCACAGCTCACTGCAGCCTCAACCTCCTGGGTTCAGGTGATCCTCCCACCTCAGCTTCTCCAGTAGCTGGGACTGCAGGCACATGCCACTATGACCAGCTAATTTTTGTGGGGGGTTTTTTGTAGAGATGGAGTTTTACTGTTGCTCAGGCTGGTTTCAAATTCCTGGCCTCAAGCAATCTGCCTGCCTCAGCGTCCCAAAGTGCTGGGATTACAGGCATGAGCCACCTCGACTGGCCTGCAATCTGCTGTTTAAAAATTTGTCCACATCATCCCATATTATTCCACTTGATCATTTTCCTGGCTTCCTAGCGTTGCGTTGTTAGGTGCAGTGTAATTCAGCTAATCCCCTATCGATGGACAGTTGGGTTGTGTCTGACGTTGCTGCAGTAACACAGCCCTGCAGCAGTGCCCTCAGAAGCACACTGTGGCCCATCTGTTCTAAGAGCTCCACAGGTGAATTCTGGAATGGGCTTGCTGGGAAAAGAGTAATGACATCAGTGACACCAGCAGCTGACAATTCTTGTGCATTCGGAACGTGCTGGGCACTGCTTCACAGGCATCCTGTCACTGAATTCTTATGACTGGCCAGGCGCAGTGGCTCACTCCAGTAACCCTAGCACTTTGGGAGCTGAGGCGGGAGGATGGCTTGAGCCCAGGATTTCAGAAACAGCCTGAGCAACACAACGAGACCCCATCTCTACAAAAAAATGTAAAAATCAACCAGGCGCATTGGCTCATGCCTGTAATCCCAGCACTTTGGGAGGCCAAAGTGGGCGGATCACATGGTCAGGAGCTCGAGACCATCCTGGCTAACACAGTGAAACCCCGTCTCTACTAAAAATACAAAAAATTAGCCGGGCGTGTCAGTGTGTGCCTGTAGTCCCAGCTAGTTGGGAGACTGAGGCAGGAGAATGGCATGAACCCGGGAGGCAGAGCTTGCAGTGAGCTGAGATCGGCCACTCTAGCCTGGGTGACAGAGCAAGACTCCATCTCAAAAAAAATAAATAAAAATAAAAAAATAAAAATTTTAAAATTAGGCAGGCGTAGTGGCTTGCACTTGTGGTCCCAGCTACTGGAGAGGGTGAGTAGTGGGAGAATTGCTTGAGTCCAGGAGTTCAAGGCTGCAGTGAGCTATGATCACCACACTGTGCTCCAGCCCAGGCAACAGAGCAAGACTTTGTCTCTAAGGAGAAGAAAGTTTAGTGACACACTGCAAGCTGATGCTATTATGAGCTCCTCCTTCACCCTCACGCGCTGCTGCCAACTCTCGGGAGTGAGACACGGGTGGGTGCCTGGTGCCGCCTCCCAGAAGGCTGCAGCGTTCCCACTCCCGCCAGCGTGCTTGGCTTGCTTCTTTTGAAAGAGCTTTCCCCATGAGGAGCGGTACAGGCACCAAGAAACAACCTGGAAGGTGAGGCTGTCTTCTCAATGTGCTCCAGGAGCTGAGGACAAGACTCTAAGAGAAATTCAACAGTCATCCCAGTGCACCCCGCCTCACTTTGCCCTTCTCCCCCTGTTCCCACCCCCAGGTGCGCCTGCATCGATGTCCGACATGCACAGAAGGCCTCAAGAAAGTGGACCCTGGAGATGGACGTGGCACTCGTGCAGTACATCAACCAGCTGTGCCGCCACCTTGCCATCACACCCGCACGGCTCCATCCCCACGAGGTGTACCTGGACCCTGCGGATGCTGCGGACCCCAGAGTGGCCTGTCTCCTGAGTATGTGGCCCTGGGCCTGTCCCCTCCCCTGCTGCCTGATGCGGGCATGCCCCCTGACAAGGGGCGTTTACAAGGGCTAGATTCATTTAGACGCCCATCAAACGAACACTTCAGAACATGAACACCTGCTACGCGCCAGGTGCGCAAGGAAGGAGGGGGCTGACGAAACAGGGAGAGCAAGGCAGGGGGCCAGGACTGTGGCCTAATTAGTCTGGGGCCTTTTTAGATGCCCATGAAAGCAAAGCCAGGGAGCAGATACAGAAATGCATGGCTGCAGGGGATGCCCAGGCCACTGCCTGGAGGCCCCACTGAGGCCAGGGCTGCCATGGGGAGTGAGAAGCATTTATAGTCTGATAGCTTGCAGTAGAGGCATTAGCCTTCATAATGGAGAACACCATGTTTTTATTAAAAGCTAGGATTGCAGGAAGTCCCATTCAGGTGCCCCTGTCTTTCGAAAGAGAGAAAGCTGTTCTCTGGGCCGGGCGCAGTGGCTCATGCCTTGTAATTGCAGCACTTTGAGAGGCCAAGGCAGGCAGATTACCTGAGGTCGGGAGTTCAAGACCAGCGTGACCAACATGGAGAAACCCCATCTCTACTAAAAATACAAAATTAGCCGGGCATGGTGGCACATGCCTGTAATCCCAGCTACTTGGGAGGCTGAGGCAGGAGAATCGCTTGAGCCCAGGAGGCGGAGGTTGCAGTGAGCCAAGATCACGCCATTGCACTCCAGCCTGGGCAACAAGAGCAAAACTCCCGTCTCCATAAAAAAACTAGGATTGCACACAAAATATAAATTGTTAGTTCCCAGACGTCCCCCCTTTACAAGGTGTTGGTGAGCAGCTCATTACACTCGTACCAGGGGCTGTGCTCAGCCGCTTGCCTCATCAGCAACAGGTGCAGAGCCCTTGCTCTCTCCTGGGTGCCAAGGAGGTAAAGGTGGGCAAGAGGTTGTCCCTGACTTCCATCTGTGGCAATGTGAAGGGTGAAGAACTGAAGGGCAGTGTGCCAGTAGCACAGTTTACTGGTTTTGATATGACATCACCATTGGGGGACGCTGGGTGAAATGTACACGGGACTCTGTGCCATTTTTGCAACCTCCTGTATTATTATTTCAAAATAGTAAGTCAAAAAATAATACAGTGGACAGCCCTGGCATGGCCCTGAAGGTAGATGAGGGGGCCTTGGACTCCTTAAGAGCCAGCACCTCCATCTGGCCAGCCAGGGCCTCGCCCTTTGTGTCTGCTTGGCATAGGCACAGGCACATCAGGGGCCGCTCGCTCACTGACAGCGTCTCCAGGGTCCTAGGTAAAAAATCCACCAATCCTGTTCCCAGTGATAGGGACCCCCTGTGTTGCCTGTGAGTCAGGCATCTCAGCCGATCTGGCCAAGATCTCAGCCTGACTGCTCCTGCGCCCTGCAGACGTGCCCATCGAGAGCCTGCGCCTGCGCTTCGCCTTACTGCAGTCCCTCAACACCACGCTGGAGACCTTCTTCTTGCCCTTGGTGGAGCTGCGCCAGACACCTATGTACACCCATAGCATCGCCGCCCTGTTGAAGGAGGCCAAAGGTCAGTGCCTGCACCCACCCTGGCCCTGCAGGAAGAGAGAGGTGACCTGCAAGACGCCAGGGCCAGAATCCACAGGCAGGGTCCTTGGGCAGCCCCCCAGGAAGATGCCTGCCCCCCGAAACCTTTCATCTAGCAGGCTGGGCTCCTCTGGAGCAACAGGTCCACCCAAGGGAAGTTACTTTAATTATAAAAGTAACATATGCTCTGAAAAGTAAAATTATTTTTAAGGTTTTCAAATTAATTAGAAATAGATGAAGTTCTGTTTACTATCTGGCCTCCACATCCCTACATCCCAGAGTGACATTGTTAACAGATGAGTATCTATCCTTCCAGACTTTTCTCTTACATACAGACAGACACGTGTGCACACACAGAGCTTTTTGTCTTTTTTTAAATTAAAAATAGGTATCATTTTCTACATTCCATTTTGCAACTCTAGTTTCTTTGCATTGTTTCTGGAAATTGGGTGTCTCCTGGGAATGACAAAGGGTACATGCACTTAGCAGCTGGGTAGATGCGACACACCACCCTCCACAGTCAGGACCCGGCTCTGCTGCCACCAGGGGGCCTGAGAGTGCCATACCCAGGGACGTAAAGAGAGCCTTGGGGGGACTGGGAAGGAAGGGACAAAACCCCACCCAAGCCTCTCCCACATTCCTCTCCTTAGGGCTGATCTTCTATGACACAAAAGTGACCGTGATGAATCGAGTGCTGAATGCCACTGTGCAGAGGACAGCGGACCACGCGGCACCTGAGATCACCTTGGACCCACTGGAAATTGTGGGAGGTGAGGTTGGCTGCAGAGGGCAAAAAATGCAAAATGGCAGTGCCTAAACACACTAGTGGATTTCTGGAACATAAAAGAAGCTTCTAGAAGAAGGGGGTCCAGGGCTGGTGCGGCAGTTCCTCCTGTCGTTCTGCTGGAGCATCCTGGTGTGTGGCTTCCTGCTGGAAGGTCCCTTCAGGAGCTCGGGGAAGGGGCATAGCAGAAGGAGCTTGGCTTCCGGGGGCCTGCCCAGCTGCATGGGGTCAGATGGGGCAGGCTTTGCTCTGATCAGCCGTGCGACTGCCAAAAATGGGGATTCCAGCATCAAAGGAAAGGGAGAGAAGGGCATTGGGGAGGCTCCCCAGAGTCTCTGCCACAGCGTATAGACAGAAGGGATATGCGCAGAGGAAACGAGAGAGGAATTGGGGGGCAAGGACCTCCCTGAGAGGCAGAGGGAAGCTTCTAGAAAATGAGAAGGGTCCAAGCACTGGTGGCCCAGGAGGGCAGGTTCCAGAGGTGGGAGCCACAAGTGCTAAGGCACAGAAGGCTCTAAGATGTTCTAAGGGCAGAGAAGGCACAGGGGGCCAAGTGAGGGAGCAGGGGTCCAGGGACAGGCACAGGCCTGCTAGGCCTGGGGTCTGTCCTCAACGGGAGGGCAGAGGGCTGCCATGGGGGGTGCTTTGATCAGCTCATCTCACTTTCCAGGGGAAATCAGAGCTTCTGAAAACTCCTACTTCTGTCAGGCTGCCAGGCAGCTGGCCTCAGTGCCGTCGTCTCAGCTCTGTGTCAAGCTGGCCAGTGGTGGTGACCCCACATATGCCTTCAACATCCGCTTCACTGGGGAGGAGGTCCACGGCACCAGTAAGTTGTGGTGGGCTCCCCGCTGAAGGAGCTGTGTTTAGTGTCCAGCCTTAGCCCCAGCTGCCCAAGACCTCCATTCCTAAGAGTAAAAGCTGCATCCTCAGCACCTGTGCTACGGAAGCCTGGTCTGCACCCAGAGTGGCCTCACACCCATGTCCTCCAGACCGTCCCCGTGTGGAAGCCTCAGCCAGCCCCTCCTGGGCTTGGGGATGGCACTTGTTCTCAGGGCCCTTCTCGGTGCCGGTTGGCCCCCTCCCCGGGAAGGGCCCTGGCTGAGGAGTTGGTAGGCCTGAAAGCTTGTGTGTGCCCCATGAGAGGCAGGGTGTTGGGGAGCCCTTGGTTAAGATGGCAGCATCGCACTCTGCAAGGATGAGGACTGGCAGCTGAGCAAGTGCTCCCTTGTGACCCTCTCATGCTTAGCCCCAGACATTCAGGAAATGTCTCCACTGCAGATGCAGAAGAAACCTAGTTTCTCCACAGCTGGGCACCCTGGAGGGAAAGGCTGTCCGGGCAGGAGGGAGCCCCCACCCAGCTCCTTCTCCCCTTTCCTCGGATCTGCCCCCACGGGAATGCAGCTGCCTCCCAGACAGAGGGCGCTGGCATCCTATGGGCAGGCCTCCTAGGCCTCTCTGAGAACAGCTCTGGTTCACTGACAGCCCAGACTCACGCACGACACCTTACCCTCCCCACAGCAGTGAACCTGCCCAGAGTGCCAGCCCTGGCCCATCCTACACATAGGGAAACTGGGACTCCACAAAGCCAAGTCACTTCCCAAGGTCAGGCAGCCAACTGGGGTTCCAGGGTCCAGGCCCCTGGCCTTCCAAGTGTCGGCGGTCGGGACACTCCTGCTTCTCCTTGAAGCAGAGGTGAGGGCCAGGCCCCACATCCGCCCCTGCACTGGGCCCCCACACTGGGCTTCCACGTGGCTCTGACCAAGCAGGGTGTGGGCACAGCTGTGCTCAGAGCTCCCTGACCTCAGGGTACCAATAGGGAACACAGGGAAGGCCAGAGGAAGAGATTTGCAAGAAACCAAAGGCCCATCTTGAATGGCGGCAGGAGAGGATGAGCAGTGACCGTTGCCCTTTGCACATTCACACATTTGTCCATTCACTTACACATTCACTGGACAGACGCGAGCCCGGGCAGTGGGGGAGGCAGTGCTGAGTGAAACAAGTGGTCCTGCCCTCAGCCTGGCCCAGGGGCACAGACGTGGACCAAACAAGTCCACAACTCAGGCAGGCTTGCAGCTGTGAGGGGTTGCCTGTGTGGGGACCTGCGGTGACCTCACTGAATCCTCGAATGGCCTTTGGGGAAGGTACGGTCACTCTCCCATTTGACAGACAGGTGACTGAGCCTGGGGGACATCTTGCCCTCTGTGGTATCACTGGGTGGCCCCACTAGTGAGTGGAGAGCAGGCTTGGACCTGAGGCCTCCTAGGCCTGAGGTGGCTTCTTTCCACCCCGCCACAGCGGCAGGCAGGCCAGGGAAAGAGTAGCCGCTCCGGCCAGCAGGTGAGAGGGAGGGAACGGTGCCACCTCCCACCGGGACGCCCCCAGGTGCCCATGTTTCTCATCTGTCCTGCAGGCGGCTCTTTCCGCCACTTCCTGTGGCAGGTGTGTAAGGAGCTGCAGAGTTCCTCGCTGTCGCTGCTGCTGCTGTGCCCCAGCTCAGCTGTCAATAAGAACAAGGTAGGCGGAGACCGAGAGGAGGCTCCACGTCCCCAAGCTCAGGTCCCAGTGCAGTGGCTGGTGGTGGTGGGGCAGTGTGTGTCTCATCGAAACTAAACCTTTTCAGAAACCTTCCCAATCTGTGGGGACAGGCCCTTGCCACACTGCCTGGGCAAGCTCTGGGAGCTTGCAGTGACTTCTCTCTTGCCTGCCACAGGGTGCGGTGGCCTGAAACACATGTTCCTTGGCGGGCACAGAGGCCCATGCCCAGGTCACCTCATGCCCACCTCCGCTTCCAGGGCAAGTATATCCTGACCCCGAGCCCCATCACCTACGGGGAGGAGCAGCTGCTGCACTTCCTGGGGCAGCTGCTGGGCATTGCTATTCGGGCAGATGTCCCGCTGCCCCTGGACCTCCTGCCCTCCTTCTGGAAGACGCTGGTGGGCGAGCCCTTGGACCCTGAGCAAGACCTGCAGGAAGCGGACATCCTCACCTACAATTACGTCAAGAAGTTTGAGAGCGTGAGTACAAGGCACAGTTCTTCCGGGGGCGTGCAGCGCCCGGGGCCTCCCCGCCGCCTTGCTTAGGACTCCATGCAGACCCGAGCTGCCTGCTCAGGCTGGGTTGGGATCCCCCAGAGGACCTTAGGGGTGTGAGCCATCTGCCAGGAAGGCTTGTTTCATAGGGACAGAGGCCTCTGGCCTCCCTCCCTGCTGGTAGCAGAGATTGGAGGTAACATGACCAGCCCTGCTGGTCCTCCCACATTGGTGCTCGTCACCTGGCCATGGGTAAGGGCTCCTGGAGCTGAGTGAACAGGCACTGGGGGAACGGCTGTAGGGGTGCAGGTTAAGAGTTGTTTCAGGGCCTCAGAGCACAGGAGTCAACCCTGGGACCACCTGAGGTCAACCAAGGGAGAGGTGTCAGGATGGAGCCCTTCCTGCCTGTCCAGGGCACACGTAGGTTTTGAGAGCATGGTGCTGTTGCTCAGCACCCCCCTGGAGGTGGATGGGGTCCACAGTCCCTCTGTGCACTCAGTGGCCGTCACTGAGGCCCTGTCATGGGCCAGACAGGCTCTGGGCACTCACCCTGCCCTCGGGGAGTGTCCAGGCTTGTCTCCTTCGTGGTGGAGGGTGGAGGGCTTTATTCCATCATCACAAGGTCAGGAGGAAAGTGAGGCTCACCAAATGGAGGTGACTTGCCCAGGCCCTCACAGCTGGCAGGGAGCAGAGCCACCGGGAGCCCAGGGCTGCCTGCTCTGACTTCTGGGCTCTCCAGCACCACACGCCCTGCAGCTGAGAGAACCATCCTGGCCGAGTGTGGAGGGCAACGTCCCACCCGGCGCCCCTCAAGGCCACGAGAGTGAACATCGTGCCTGAGGCCTGGCAGAAGCTGCTCTCTCCTGGGCCTCAGGTGAAGGAGGTGCCAGCTGCTTCTGCGTACGCCGGCAGAATACTCCATGGCCAACTGAGGCACTGCCTGGCCAGGTCTCCGCCATTGTCCCCCTGGGTCACTCAGGGCAGCCATTGCAAGACAATAGCAGAGCCAGAGTCCCGGATGCCCGTGGCTTCTCGGTAGAAACAGGCATGACAAGGCATTGTCTAAAGGGTGGAAGGAGAACACCCACAGTGGACTGAGGGTTTATGTGTCTCCTGCATTCTTCCAAGGAATCCTCCTGGGGCTCTGGGTGCAGCGCAGGCTGGGGCTGCAGGGGATGCGAGGCGGGGTCCTGCAGGCCAGCTGAGGCTTCTGGCTGCAGGGATGGCCAGGGCCCCAGAGGGTGTGGGGTGCAGAACCACATGGTGTTGTGGGATGTGTACTGGAAAGAAATGCTCTCGACTTGTATCAGTGGAGCGTCTGCAGTGAAGGGGTAGGGAGGTTGCTACTAAGGAGACTACAGACTTAGACCTGAATGTCCGTCCACCTGTCACTGTCCCCGAGCTGCAGTCAGTCTCCTTTGGGTCTCACCCTGTCGTCTCCCAGATAGCCCAGCAGACACAGTGCGAATCAGTTTCCCTGGACCCTGATTCTGGTCGCCAAATGTGGGGAGGCAGTAGCCTGTACACCTCCACAGACAGGACTAAGTCAGGGCTGTCTGGTGGCAAGGGACAGAAATCCCAGCCACAACCAGCTTTAGAAAAAATTGTTTAAAATTAGTTGCTCTTAGACTGGGCGCGGTGGCTCATGCCTGTAATCCCATTACTTTGGGAGGGTTAGGTGGGCAGATCACAAGATCAGGAGATCAAGACCATCTGGCTAACATGGTGAAACCCCATCTCTACTAAAAATACAAAACATTAGCCAGGCGTGGTGACAGGTGCCTATAGTCTCTGGCTGCTTGGGAAGTTGAGGCAGGAGAATGGCGTGAACCCGAGAGGCGGAGCTTACAGTGAGCCAAGATTGTGCCACTGGACTCCAGCCTGGGCAACAGAGCAAGACTCCATCTCAAAAAAAAAAAAATTAGTTGCTCTTAAAACAAAAACCATGATGGGTTTGACTTCAGGCAGGGCCAAATCCAGGTATTCAAACAGTGTCATCTGGTATTGGTCTCAGGCCTCTTATCCAGATTGCTTTAAAAAAAAAAAAAAAGAAAGCGGCCAGGTGTAGTGGCTCACACCTGTAATCCCAGCATTTTGGGAAGCTGAGGCAGGTGGATCAGGAGTTCAAGACCAGCCTGGCCAAGATGGTGAAACCCCATCTCTACTAAAAATACAAAAACTAGCCAGGCATGGTGGCGGGTGCCTGTAATCCCAGCTACTCGGGAGGCTGAGGCAGAGAATTACTTGAACCCGGGAGGCGGAGGTTGTAGTGAGCCAAGATTGCACTACTGCACTCCAGCTGACAGAGCGAGAATCCATCTCAAAAAAAAAAAAAGAAAGAAAGAAAAAGCAGTCTGGGTGCAGTGGCTCACGCCTGTAATCCCAGCACTTTGGAAGGCTGAGGCAGGTAGATCACCTGAGGTCAGGAGTTCGAGACCAGCCTGACCAACATAGTGAAACCCCGTCTCTACTAAAAATACGAAAATTAACCAGGCGTGGTGGCGGGCGCCTGTAATCCCAGCTCCTTAGGAGGCTGAGGCAGGAGAATTGCTTGAACTCAGGAGGCAGAGGTTGCAGTGAGCCCAGGTCGCACCACTGCACTCCAGCCTGGGCAACAAGAGCAAAACTCTGTCTCAAAAAAAAAAAAAGAAAAGAAAAGAAAAAGCAAAGAAAGCAAAATTAGTCTCAGGCAGGCTGTCCCAGCACACGGGCAGAGGTGGCCTCCAGCAGTAAAGGGTTTCCCATCATAGAGTCTGCCCGTGCCAGTGAGACAGGATCGCTGCCTCCAAACAGTCATGGGAAAAGGCCTGGAATGTGGGTCTCTTCAGCCTGGCCTCGGTCACATGCCCGGCCCTGAACTGATGGCAGGTTCTGATTGGCCAAGCCCATGTCACATGCCCATCCACACGGCCAAGGGTAGATCCCACCAGCTGCACCTGGGATTTGCCCAGCCACCTGGGGATCAGGGTTCCACTTCCCATGGCCTTGTAATGAGCCTCACTCTGCCTCCACCCTCCAGATCAATGACGAGACCGAGCTGGAGGCCCTGTGCGCTGAGATTGCCTCCCAGCACCTGGCCACCGAGAGCCCTGACAGCCCCAACAAGCCCTGCTGCAGGTTCACCTACCTGACCATGACGGGCGAGGAGGTGGAGCTGTGCAGCCGGGGCCGGCACATCCTTGTGGCGTGAGTGTGTGCACGTGGTGGGGGCTGGCCAGGGTTTGACAGCAGCATCTGTTCCTGGGCAATGGCATGAGGACCTAGGTCAGGTGACAGGTGGATTTCACCAGGGGAGGGAGATGAGGCAGGATGGTGGGTGCCAAGAAAGAGGGTCCTCAGCAGAAGGGGTTTATTAAGAAAACAGCAGCTCTGAGGTGGTGGCACCAGAGGCAGGAAAGGACTGGGATGACCAGGGCGGCTGGGCCGCAGGCCTCTCCCAAGAGAGGATCCAAGACCTCCGGCTGAGTGGGTGTGGCTCCCAGACCCAGCCTCTTTGGTGGTGGTCTCCCTCACCTGTGCCCCTCACCTGGGCAGGTGGGAGAACAAGGACATCTATGCGGCAGCCATCCGGAGCCTGCGGCTGCGGGAGCTGCAGAATGTGGAGTGTGTGACGGCCGTGCGGGCTGGCCTGGGCTCCATCATCCCCCTGCAGCTGCTGACTACGCTCAGCCCGCTGGAGATGGAGCTGCGCACCTGCGGCCTCCCCTACATCAACCTCGAGTTCCTCAAGGTAGACGGCCCAGGGCCAGGCTGGGCGGGGAGGTGGTGAGCCCCAGGCCTGCCTCCCTGTCACCCTTAAGTCCAGCAGCAGGCATCGGCAGTGGCCTGTCTCAGCTCTGTCCTTGCCACAGACCTGTATCATTGTCATCGTTGTCATCTCCCTGTGCTCACAGCCCACACGCTGCAGCCTGCCCTGGGATTGGGCCTGGCCCGCAGACCCCAGGGCTGGGGAGGCACTGGGTAGGTGGGGTTCCAGGGCTCCTGACACCTGGGCCTCTCCTCCCCAGGCCCACACCATGTACCAGGTGGGGCTGATGGAGACGGACCAGCACATCGAGTTCTTCTGGGGGGCCCTGGAGATGTTCACCCAGGAGGAGCTGTGCAAGTTCATCAAGTTTGCCTGCAACCAGGAGCGCATCCCGTTCACCTGCCCCTGCAAAGACGGGGGCCCCGACACCGCCCATGTGCCCCCGTACCCCATGAAGATCGCCCCCCCAGATGGCACAGCAGGTACCGCCCTCCCCTGGCCATTTCCCAAGTAGGGACACACTAGCCCTTCTCTGTTTGGAACTGGGGCTGCCAGGCCCCATGTGAAGGGAGAACAATGAACAGGAGCCCCACACGCCAAAACCCAGACATCACTGAGGATTAGGGCCGGGCAGGAGCCAGCCATGTGAGTCTGCTGTTAGATACCTTCTCGTATCTCAAAAGAAGCTGAAAATCCAGAATGCTTCAAATCTTCTAACTTTTAAATGCAGAAAAATGGGTAAAAACAAAACAAAACAAAACATTTTGCTGGGCAGACAAACCCATCAGCAGTTTGGCACATATGCTGTCCAGCAGCTCTCTCCCCTTTTCCCTCCAAGAACTTCTCCCAGGTTCCCAGGCCCTCATCCCCATCCTGCTGGGCGCCAGGATTGGCTTAGGGCTACCCTAGGAGGCAAACCTGGAAGCGGAGGCCAGCCCAGCTTCCATGGGAGCCTCACAGACGGGGGCCCAACCCTCTGACGCTGGCTCGGTTTCTTGTAGGTTCCCCAGACTCTCGCTACATCCGCGTGGAGACCTGCATGTTCATGATCAAGCTTCCCCAGTACTCCTCTCTGGAAATCATGCTGGAGAAACTTCGTTGTGCCATTCACTACCGCGAAGACCCCCTCAGTGGCTGACAGGAGGAAGCCCCAGAATTAGGATGTCACTGAGGCACCTGCTCTGCTGGCTTGGGAAGCCACTACTGCAGCCCGTCCCTCCAGGGCCCTGCGTGAGGAGTTGGCAACATTTTGCTTTTCCGAACTTTCGTCCACGTTCCAGGGCCTCCTGGAAGACTTAACCTTTTGTCTTTGTACGTTTCGTGATGGGTTGGTTCTTTTGCTGCCTGTTTGTGGTCTATTTGTAGGATAGTTTAGTTCCCAGACAGTTTGTGTCTAATTTGATCTTCTTGGACATTGTCCCTCGTGGCCACCAGATTTTAATGCCATAAGGCCCCAGCTGGTTCCCCATCACAGAACCACCGAGCAGGAAGCCAGGGGTACAATGACCTCAGCCACACAGAGCATCCGTGCTTTAGCAGAGCGCCTCCACAGACAAGCCTGTGGCCAGCCCTCCCCTCTGGCCTCCAGCTGGAGTTGCTCCAGAGGCAGCCCCAGCAGGCCTCCCTCCACCTAGAGGTGGCTGGGCCAGTTGCCCAAACATGGGAGACACACAGGGAGCTTTATATGTTCATCTTCCTGCTTTAGAACTTGCTCCCAGTCTTGGTTTTTCTGAGGAAAAGCCCACAGTGGTTTCCCTGCGTGTCCCAAACCTCCCTATCTGCCATCTGTCTCTGCTGGGCCCTAGTCTGACAGTTTTCATCTGAGGCCTCCTCAGGAGCAGGAGACTCAAGGGTTCATCCCGACCTTAATTCACAGAGCCTAGCTGGGTGCATCCCAGCTGCAGGGGGTGAGAAGACACCCAGAGGTGGGAGACAGTGCTCAGGTGGGGGCCTCCTCTGAGACTCTGGTTGAAGAGGAAAGCACATGATTCAAGCCTACCCCACAAAAAAGGAGCACAAAATGCTCAGAAATGGCCCTTTCTCCCTGCAGTGACATAGGACAAGGGAAAGGGCCACACCCCCATTTTCAAAAGAGTGGACTGAGGTGCTCTGCTCAATTCGGGGTCTGCTTTAGTGACCCAGACATGCAAGTCCAGATGGAGACTCCAGGGGGGTCCTTCTGCCCCTCTGGCCAGCCCTGCCTAGCACTCCCCATCACCCCATGTAAGTGTGTGTGCCAGGGCCGGGCTGCCTCCAGGCTCACCCACTGCCCCAGTGCATCTTTGCCCCAAATAGGTCTTTGTCCAATGGTACTCTGTTCATGAGCAGCACAGGCCATCTTGTTGGACACTGTCACTTTGGGCCTTGCCAGGTCTCACAGAATCACATCACTGTATTTATTGTATAATATTGTGAATATTGGAAGTTTTGAGTGAGTGCTATCTAGAAGGTTTTGGAGTGTGGATGCTGGTCCAAGAAAGAAGATGTGCCCTGGCCTGCTGGAAAGATTGTGAGTTCTAGAGATAGAGCCGTTAGCATCCATCTCCTCCCTGTAACTCTTAGGAAATGCATCAAGGACCATTATAGAAAGGATCCCCTGACCTCAGGATGAAATCGACCTAGGGTTAATCATGACAGCTGCATCAGTTGTATTTGATGCGAGTCACCTCTGGAGGTGAGTGCCCGCAAGCAGTTCCCCTGTTTTGAAAGAAGATGGTCAGCCCACTGCCTCACCAGCAGCCACAGCTCCCTTGAGTGGGGCGGGGGGGGGGTCACATCCAGGATGTATTCCTGACAACAAGGATCCTTTTATTTTCATTTCTGCAAAACGAAAGAGCCTTTGGATTTATTAGAAGTGGTTTTTCCTCCCTGTATCTTTAAATTCTTGGTTCTCTTTAGTCCTCATCCCTTGAATGGACTTGTCAGCTACCTCCCCAGGAGGAGTTCAGAAGCTTCTGTTGGCCATCACTTGAGTAGATGACAGCTGTAAGGTATCTGCTGCTAACATGGCTGCTTCTCCGAGAGCACATTGAGGTCCAGACAGTTCCAAACCTTGGCCCTAAAAAATGTGTGCTGTAAAGTTACTTGATGTATATTTATTATAATTATTTATGGTTGCATTTAACAAACTTTTCATTCAATCTGATGCTATTTACACCATGCTGTGTAAAGGAAGCTCACTAAAGGAAAAAAGTCACACCAATAAATAACCTTCATCTAATTTTGATTTACCTTAAGAGTTGTGTGATCATCTACTCTTGCTGAGCAAGTTCAAAGACTGGCATGCTTGGATGGCTCTGATATTTAAGTGCTGCCAAGTGGCTAGGAATTAAAGTGTTTCTAATTATTATGGTCTCTTGGCATTTGACGTGATTCTTACCCCATGAGGCTTTTAAACTACCCTTCCCCAAACCTGACTCTTGAGTCTGTGCATTGCATGTAGAAATTATGAAGGCAGGGGAATCCAAGATCAAAGCTAAACCTAACGCTATATCCCCTGCCCACTTTTTGTCCTGGCAGCTAGTCTTTGCACTTGGGCCTGGTGTGGGCATTTTTCTCAAGCGGATTGTTACCGTGGCAGAGTCTGGGCCCCTCAGACACAGCTCCTCCTTCAGGAGCAGGTGGTGGATGTAGACCTACCTTGTGCAGAAGGGACATACAGGAAAGATGTGAGGACTTGCTGAGTCCTGCTGTCCATGATCAACACTCAGCTCCTTGCACAGCTGCCTCACCGGCCAGGGGGCCCAGGTTGGCTATACTCTGCATAATCTCAGTTCTCTGTGACCTGCTTGTCCCCTCCTACTGTTCCATGGTAGTCTTCACCCAGAGTCACTTTATTCTCATGCTTTCAACTCCACCTTTCTTGTACTTCATAAACGCTAACTTTGGAAGGGTGGCAAGATGACCAGGTAGGAACAGCTCTGGTCTGCAGCTCCCAGTGAGACCAACACAGAAGGCAGGTGATTTCTGCATTTCTAACTGAGGTATCTGGCTCATCTCAATGGGACTGGTTAGACAGTGGGTGCAGCCTACGGAAGGCGAGCTGAAGCAGGGTGGGGCGTTGCCTCACCCAGGAAGCACAAGGCGTTAGCAAACTCCCTCCCCTAGCCAAGGGAAGTCATGAGGGACTGTGCCGGGAGGAATGGTGCACTCCAGCCCAGATACTACGCTTTTCCCATAGTCTTCACAACCTGCAGACCAAGAGATTCCCTCCCATGCCTACACCACCAGGGCCCTGGGTTTCAAGCACAAAACTGGGCGGCCGTATGGGCAGACACCTAGCTAGCTGCAGGAGTTCTTTTTTTCATACCCCAGTGGCACCTGGAATGCCAGTGAGACAGAACAGTTCACGCCCCAGGAAAGGGGGCTGAAGCCAGGGAGCCAAGTGGTCTAGTTCAGCAGATCCCACCCCCATGGAGCCCAACAAGCTAAGATCCACTGGCTTGAAATTCTGACTGCCAGCACAGCAGTGTGACGTCAACCTGGGATGCTCGAGCTTCTTGTGGGGAGCAGTGTCTGCCATTACTGAGGCTTCAGTAGGCGGGGTTTCCCCTCACAGTGTAAACAAAACTGCCAGGAAGTTCGAACTGGGTAGAGCACACCACAGCTCGGCAAAGCCTCTGTAGCCAGACTGCCTCTCTAGATTCCTCCACTCTGGGCAAGGCAGCACTGAAAGAAAGGCAGCAGCCCCAGTCAGGGGCTGATAGATAAAATTCCCTTCTCCCTGGGACAGAGCACCTGGGGAAAGGGGTGGCTGTGGGTGCAGCTTCAGCAGACTTAAACATTCCTGCCTGCCAGCTCCGAAGAGAGCAGCCGATCTCCCAGCACAGCACTTGAGCTCTGCTAATGGACAGACTGCCTCCTCAAGTGGGTCCCTGACCCCCATGCCTCCTGACTGGGAGACACCTCCCAGCAGGGGCCGACAGACACCTTATACAGGAGAGCTCCGGCTGGCATCGAGCAGGTGCCCCTCTGGGACGAAACTTCCAGAGGAAGGAACAGGCAGCAATCTTTGCTGTTCTGCAGCCTCCGCTGGTAATACTGGTCTGGAGCGGACCTCCAGCAAACCCCAGCAGATCTGCAGCAGAGGGGCCTGTTAGAAGAAAAACTTAACATACAGAAAGGAATAGCATCAACATCAACAAAAACGACATCCACACAGAAACCTCATCCAAAGGTCACCAACATCAAGGACCAAAGGTAGATAAATCAACGAAGATGAGGAAAAACCAGCGCCAAAAGGCTGAAAATTCCAAAAACCAAAACACCTCTTCTCCTCCAAAGGATCACAGTTCCTCCCCAGCAAAAGAACAAAAGTGGATGGAGAATGAGTTTGACGAATTGACAGAAGTAGGCTTCAGAAAGTGGGTAATAACTAATTTCACTGAACTAAAGGAGCATGTTCCAACCCAATGCAAAGATGCTAAGAACTTGAAAGAAGGTTAGAGGAATTGCTAACTAGAATAACCAGTTTAGAGAAGAACATAAATGACCTGATGGAGCTGAAAAACAGCACAAGAACTTCGTGAAGCATACACAAGTATCAATAGCCAAATCGATCAAGCGGAAGAAAGGATATCAGAGATTGAAGATCAACTTAATGAAATAAAGTGAGAAGACAAGATTAGAGAAAAAAGAATGAAAAGGAATGAACAAAGCCTCCAAGAAATATGGGACTATGTGAAAAGACCAAACCACATTTGATTGGTGTACCTGAAAGTGACAGGGAGAATGGAACCAAGTTGGAAAACACTCTTCAGGATATTATCCAGGAGAACTTCCCCAACCTAGCAAGACAGGCCAACATTCAAATTCAGGAAATACAGAGACCACCACAAAGATACTCCTCAAGAAGAGGAACACCAAGACACATAATCGTCCCATTCACCAAGGTTGAAATGAAGGAAAAAATGTTAAGAGCAGCCAGAGAGAAAGGTCGGGTTACCCACAAAGGGAAGCCCATCAGACTAACAGCTGATCTCTCTACAGAAACCTTACAAGCCAGAAGACAGTGGGAGCCAATATTCAACATTCTTAAAGAAAAGAATTTTCAACCCAGAATTCCATATCCAGCCAAACTAAGCTTCATAAGCGAAGGAGAAATAAAATCCTTTACACACAAGCAAATGCTGAGAGATGCTATCACCACCAGGCCTGCCTTACAAGATCTCCTAAAGGAAGCACTAAATACGGAAAGGAAAAACCGGGACCAGCCACTGCAAAAACATATCAAATTGTAAAGACCATCGACACTATGAAGAAACTGCATCAACTAACGGGCAAAATAACCAGCTAGCATCATAATAACAGGATCAAATTCACACATAACAATATTAACCTTAAAAGTAAATGGGCTAAATGCCCAAATTAGAAGACATAGACTGGCAAATTGGATAGAGTCAAGACCCATCGATGTGCTGTATTCAGGAGACCCATCTCACGTGCAAAGACACCTCACGTGCAAAGACACACACAGGCTCAAAATTAAGGGATAGAGGAATGTTTACCAAGCAAATGGAATGCAACAAGAATCTGGGGTTGCAATCCTAGTCTCTGATAAAACAGACTTTAAACTAACAAAGATTAAAAAAAAGATAAAGAAGGGTGTTACATAAAAGGATCAATGCAATAAGAAGAGCTCATTATCCTAAATATATATGCACCCAACAGGAGCACCCAGACTCATAAAGTAAGTTCTTAGAGGCCTACAAAGAGGCTTAGACTCCCACACAATAATAGTGGGAGACTTTAACACCCCACTGTCCATGTTAGATCAATGAGACAGAAAATTAACAAGGATATTCAGGACTTGAACTCAGCTCTGGACCATGTGGACCTAATAGACATCTACAGAACTCTCCACCCCAAATCAACAGAATATACATTCTTCTCAGCACCACACTGCATTTATTCTAAAGTTGACCACATAATTGAAAGTAAAATACTCCTCCACAAATGCAAAAGAATGTATTATAACAAATAGTCTCTCAGACCACAGTGTAATCAAATTAGAACTCAGGATTAAGAAACTCACTCAAAAACCATACAACTGCAATGGAAACTGAACAATCTGCTCCTGAATGACTACTAGGTAAATAATGAAATTAAGGCAGAAATACATAAGTTCTTTGAAACCAATGAGAACAAAGACACAACGTACCAGAATCCCTGGGACACAGCTAAAGCAGTGTTTTGAGGGAAATTTATACCACTAAATGCCCACAGGAGAAAGCAGGAAAGATCTAAAATTGACACCCTAACATCACAATGAAAAGAACTAGAGAAGCAAGAGCAAACAAATTCAAAAGCTAACAGAAGACAAGAAATAACTAAGATCAGAGCAGAACTGAAGAAGATAAGAGACATGAAAAACCCTTCAAAAAATAAATAAATCCAGGACCTCATTTTTTCAAAAGACTAACAAAATAGACCACTAGCCAGACTAATAAAGAAGAGAAGAGAGAAGAATCAAATAAATACAATAAAAAACAATAAAGGGGATATCACCACTGATCCCACAGAAATACAAACTACCATCAGAGAATACTATAAACACCTCTATGCAAATAAACTAGAAAATCTAGAAGAAATTGATAAATTCCTGGACACACACACCCTCCCAAGACAACCAGGAAGAAGTCGAATCCTTGAATAGACCAATAACAAGTTCTGAAATTGAGGCACTAATTAATAGCCTACCACCCAAAAAAATCCCAGGACCAGATGGATTCACAGTCAAATTCTAACACAGGTACAAAGAGGAACTGGTACCATTCCTTCTGAAACTATTCCAAATAAAAGAAAAGAGGGACTCCTCCCTAACTCATTTTATGAGGCCAGCATCATCCTAATACCAAAACCTGACAGAGACACAACAAAAAAAGAAAATACCCCTGATGAACATCGATGCGAAAATTCTCAATAAAATACTGGCAAACCGAATCCAGCAGCACATCAAAAAGCTTATCCACCAGTCGGCTTCATCCCAGGGATGCAAGGCTGGTTCAACATACTCATATCAATAAATGTAATCCATCATATAAATAGACCAATGACAAAAAACACATGATTATCTCAATAGATGCAGAAAAGGCCTTCAATAAAATTCACCTCTTCATGCTAAAAACTCTCAATAAACTAGGTATTGATGGAACTCATCTCAAAATAATAAGAGTTATTTATGACAGACCCATAGCCAATATCATACCGAATGGGCAAAAACTGGAAGCATTCCCTTTGAAAACTAGCACAAGACAAGGATGTCCTCTCTCATCACTCCTATTCAACATAGCATTGGAAGTTCTGGCCAGGCAGTCAGGCAAGATAAATAAAGGGTATTCAAGTAGGA